GCTGTCACATGCCTGCTATCAAGGTTCCCATTCTGTTACAAACTTAAGTGACACAAAGGACGACTAGACCATTGGGACCCGGCTGCCCCATCTCGGACAAACAACACAGCCTATCAGAGACGACATGGGATCCAATGACACATGCAGGCGCTCACGGTGAGCAAGGCTCTCAGTGAGCCAACACTCATTAGATAGACCTATGGGGCTCAGCAGAGCATCCGGAAACAGATATCTCGCAGAGGGCGAGCAGGTATAAAGGGACTACGGGAGAACTTAGATTGTCAGATAGTTCGACAGTAGTTAATAGATTATTATCACCGAGACTAGTATTACGAACATACTTGTTGTGAACCTTTTGGCTTCACCGAACAGCACTGATAGTTACTATCTTCAGCTATCTCATTTAGGCAGATCAGACTGCCGTTCGTCACACATTTACATGGATGCTGTTTAATCGGGTTATCCCATTTACAGGTTTAGCTGTCACTAGTTGTTGCCCGTGGTCTAGGTATAAAACCCAAGTCTGGTATTGAGCCTTCTCTTTTGAGATTTCTTCTCTCTTCAGCTTCTTATTCTTAGTCCAAGTTAATCAAATCGTATACAACGTGCCCTCTAGTTACGCCGTGACACTTACGTTAATTACATTGATTAAAGATATCATTATTTTCGTTACCAGTACCAGAGATAAGTAAAAACAAGATAAGAAAAAGGCTTAGTATATACGAGAGCGTATATTCTGCTTCTATATTTACTTATTAGCCGAATACGAATTTATGAAATATATTGAGAAGAGAAATAGTATTATTAGTTATTATTTTTATGGATAGTTAGCTTAAATAAATTTTATTAACTATAGGAAAATTCATTACCCTACTATTCCTTAGCTGAATAGCAATAGAATAATATTTAGTAGACGAATATAATATTATGAAGTATAATATTTAATAATTAGTTATGTATTACCAATACTTGGATAGTGTCATGGGGCTGGCACCTAGGGATGTTTGCCTAGCTTGAACTCTATGTAAGCCAGGCCTGCCCTCCAACTGGGTGCACTCCTGGGGTGCGCCGCACGAACCACATTTTCGACCTTGGCGTTTCTAGCACCTTCGATATCCGCACCTCTCTTGTGTATTTAGCTGTAAGCTCTATGCTATACTGGCACAGACTTCTCTTTTCCTCTTTGTCGAATATTATCACTTTCACCAAGGCTTACCTGCGTGTATACCTCGTAGAACCCTTACAGATAGTAATATTTAAACATATAGTATTATTATTTTTTGTAATGGAATTATAATTTGTACTTTAATAATAAATATATATTCTGTACATATATAAGAAAAGGAAAATTTAAGTTTCTCTAACATAGTTGTGGTTACAGTTACGTAAAATTTAGAAGGCTAGTAGCTTCCGCGAAATCATTGCGAGAATGACGTATAAGTGAGATATAATAGTATAAATATTGTTACTAGGCGCTTAAGAGAACTTGTAAGTTTTAGATAAAAGGTTACTTTTGTAACTGGTACATTGCTAAGAAATCCCTATGTGGGGCAGGTTTTTGGGACCTGGATAATGAGCCCCTATGGAGTTTACCCACTATTTTGGTGATTATGTCAGCAGAAGTTCAGCTTTGGGGACCCCTGTCCGTGCCAAGAGGAAACCCCTGGAACCCCGCGATTCCAAGTTGCTGGAAGCTTATCAAGCAAAAAATTATTCAGCGCCCCTCCTTATCGGCGATAACGAAGAGAGAGACCATCGGGTTGGTGCCGCCATCACAAAGTTTCTTATACCCGTCATTCAACACCAGAACACCAGATTTCGCACAGCGTATACCCTTTATCTTTCCTGGACCTCGCCAATTCGTCCTCATATATCTCCAACCTTATCAAACCACCAGAACTTACTCTTCCGCCAATTCACACAGCCCACCATGACGTTCCCTCAAGACCCCCAAGATCCTAACCACCAGGATCATCACGACAACGACATGCACGATGAGGACGAGATTATCCAGGAGGAGGAGATCGAAGAGGTTGTCGCCGACGACGCCGAGGGCGATGTCGCCATGGATTCCGACGAAGACCACGAGATGGGCGAGGGCGACGAGGAGATGTTCCTACACAACGACAGCATCGCCTACTTCGACGCGCACAAGGACTCCGTCTCTTCGCCATTGCGCAACACCCCATCTACCCCCAGCTGATCGCGACCGGCGGCTCCGAGGGCGAAGGCGACGATATGCCCGGCAAGGGCTACGTGCTCGACACATCCGCTGCCGTCTCCCGCCCCGTCCTACCTCCCAGCTACCAGTCCGACCCCAGCGCCAACCAACAGCAAAACACCGAACTCACCCCCATCTTCGAGATCGACGGACACACCGACAGCATCAACGCGCTCGCTTTCACACTGCCAAAGGGCGACTTCCTCGCCAGCGCCGGCATGGATGGCCGGTTACGCGTATACGCTGTTAGCGCGGGCGCCAACCAGTTCGAATTCAGCTTCCTCGCCGAGTCGCAAGAGACAGAAGAGATCAACTGGCTTCTGCCCTGCCCCTCTCCCGAATTCCCCAACACTTTGGCCCTCGGTGCCTCCGACGGCTCCGTGTGGGTCTTCACCATCGACGCCTCCGACTCTGCCTCCCCGATCCAGATCGTCCAGTCCTACTTTCTTCACACCGGCCCTTGCACGGCGGGCGCCTGGTCCGCCGACGGCAACCTTTTGGCGACCGTCTCCGAGGACGCATCCATGCACGTCTTCGACGTCTGGGGCGTCGCCGCCGGCAAGAACCTCACCACCGACAACGGCCAGACGGTCGTCTCTCTCACCGAAGCCGATCAGCGTTTCGCCGTCGAAGGCGGTCTCTACTCGGTCGCCATCTCGCCCTCGGGTAACTTCGTCGCCGCCGGCGGCGCAGGCGGTAACATCAAGATCGTCGGTCTCCCCCGCTTGTCCGAGCCCGCCCCAACAAAGCCTACACAATCCCGCCCAGCCCCCGCCATCCGCGGTCCCGCGGGCCGTCGCATGCCCGCCCCCACACCACGCGGCGCCTCCGCTGCTGCGGGCACCGAACCCTCAGCCCAAGCAGGTGCCATCCTCGCCTCCATGGCGGTCCAAGGCGACAGCATCGAGTCGCTCGCCTTCTCTCCCCTCCCGCAGACCCTCCTGGCCGCTGGTTCAGTAGACGGCAGCATCGCCGTGTACGACAGTGCGCGCTCGTTCGCTGTGCGCAAGCACATCCGCGGCGCGCACGAGGGTGAGTCGGTCGTTAAGGTGGATTTCGTCAAGAGCGCGACGTCGCAGCCTGGCATGCACGGGTGGCTTTTGACAAGCTGTGGACTTGATGGTGTCGTGAGGAGATGGGACCTGCGTGGTGCGACGGCGAGCTCGGCGAACATGCAGAGCGGTGCAGCCGTGAGTGGGTTGTTGAAGGAGTGGAGGGGACATGCCGGTGGAGAGGGCGGTGGTGTTCTGGGCTTCGTCCAGGGCGAGACGGGTGAGAGAGTTGTTACTGCTGGTGATGATGGTGTTGTTCTGGTTTTTGAGGCTTGAGAGCTTGACGTGTAAAGATTGGTTGTGAAAAAAGCGGAGTTTGGTGGCATGGAAGATTAATTTATACCTTGATGACGGGAGTTTTGCGATCTCGCAAGACAGACAGCGAATTGATTGTTGCAAGTTTGGCATCCTTTAGGCATGTTCCGGCGATATTGGACATTAAAAGAAAAAGTTGCAAGGCGAAGAGTTTGAACCAGCAACGATCTATACAACGATCAAAGACAGGGCACCGACCGAACATTGAAAAGAGGTAGAGTCTGAATCCAATTTCAAGTCTACAAGTCCTAAGAAGACAACGAACGCTCTTACACATACACGACTCCATCACCACGACGATCTGGGCGACTCGGTTTGGAAATGTTGGAATCGGAACAATACTGGGTGAGCGTTAAAGTCATCACTGAGTATTCATCGTGACACTTGCCAATTTACGGGTAACCCTTTAGCTGATATCGATCTAGCCTACAAACCCAAAGCCCAGTACCTATTTTCCTTTCCTCTGCCAGCAAAGATTGAACATCAGGGACCTTACAGCTTCGAAGTAGCTACCGCTCCTTTCCTCTTCTTCTGGTAAACCTGAATCTCCACGCCCTGCGTTCCCTCTCCGCCACTCTTCAATACCCTCCTCAGGATCTTTCCACTCGGGCTCTTGGGGATCTGCTTCACAAACACGACGCCGCCCATAAGCCACTTATACTTGGCCGTCCTCTTCTCCACCAGCACCCTGAGCTCATGCGCCAGCTTCTCCAGCTCCTTCTTATTCTCCAGCGTCTCCGGCTTGCGCGGAACCACATACGCCCGCGGCCACTCCGTCGCTTCGGACTCATCATACACACCCACCACACCCGCGTCCGCCACCGACGGGCTGCTGCACAACACTGCCTCCAGCTCCGCCGGCGCAACCTGGTACGCGCGCACCTTGATCAGCTCCTTCAACCGATCCGTGATCCGCAGTCTTCCATGCGCATTGATTGCGCCTACATCGCCGGTGCGGAACCATCCATCGGCCGTCAACGCCTCGCGTGTAACTGACATATCCAGCTCCTTGCCATCCTTGGCAGCCGTAAACACGCCGACAGGTAGATAAGCGCTCAACAGCGTCGGCGCACGAATCAGAATCTCTCCTTCCTGATCTATCCTCGCGGCCTTGGTCTTCCCGTTCACAAGACCGGGCGCGGGCACAACCATATCAGCAACCATGACCTCGACGCCCCAATGCGGCACGCCCGTCTCGCCCGCCTGCTCCAGCATCTCCTTCTCGCCCGTCCCGCGCTGCAAGCTGGTGCTGCACGTCTCGCTCAGCCCGTAGCCCAGTCTGACTCGGAACCCGCACCGCTTGTACACCTCCACGACCACCTCATGCCCCAAGGGCGCACCGCCCGTCACGGCGGCGACGACGGAGCTGAACCCGTTCTTGCCCGTCTTGGGGTTCCGCTTCGCGTACCTCTCGACAGCGGGAGCCTTGGCTAGCATGACGGCGATAGGCGGCGCCATGTGCAAATAGGTAATCTTCCGCTTGGGAATGGCGGCTAGCATCCCATCCAGACTAAATGCCGGCATGACGAACACAGTCGCGCCAGTCATGATTGCGAGCAAAACGATGTTGCAGAGGCCGAAAACGTGGTAGAAGGGCACGTACCCCAGCCACCGCTGCTGGCGGACTTGAGCGGAGGAGTGGTAATCGGATGCGTCGTGCCAGAGGTGCGCGCCGGAGTAGTTGAGCGTGTGATGCGACAGCAAAACACCCTTGGAGCGGCCCGAGGTGCCGGAGGACCAGAGGATGACGGCTGTGCGGGCGGGGGAGGCGGAGGAGGGGGTTAGGGAGGAGGGGACGACGGTTGTTCGGGATGCGGAAGAGGAGCGGAGGAGGACTTTCCAGTCTTGGGTTTGCTGCTTCGTCTTCGTCTTGTTGCTCGAGGTGGTAGATGGTGGTGAAGAAGATGACGAACCCGAGACAGAGGGGTAGTGGTCCTTGGCTGCGTCAAAGGTGTAGATGGGCACAGAGTCGAAAAAGGCCCGGTCTTGCGGCTCTTGCTTCTTCAGCGCCTCGCGCATGGCAGAGAGACAGGCTTTAGCCGTGATGATGGCCCGCGGCCGCGAGTTCTGGATGATCCAGGCGACTTCATCGCTTGTGAGAGCCGGTGAGACGAGGGTCGCGGTTAGTCCGGCGGCGAGGGTGCCCAGCAGTACGGGAGCAAAGGCGAGGGAGTTGGGGAGTTGGATAAGGATGACGGGGGCGATTTCGGGACCTTGTGGACAGGTCGGCGTGGGTGGGAGTTTGGTGATGTCGTTGGGGTTGAGACCCAAGCTCAAAAGACCGCCGGCAAGGGCGAGGGCATCGCTTCTTATTTGGCCGAAGGTGAGTTTGCGGTCTGGTGTGATTTTGTGATGTGTCAATTTTGCCGTTCTACCCAGTGTCAAGGTTCAAGATGCGAGAAAGCTAACCTGAAGCATTGTCCCAAAGATTGGCCTTTCATCCTCGATCTTGTCCAACGCTTGAGCTTGAGGCGTGTAGTCATTCACGGACGAAAAGGGCTGACTGAAGCACCAGTCGAACGTATTGGTGAGGGGAACATGGCCGGGGGGTGTTCCGGAGTAAGCTTCCTTTGTGCTGTATTCACTTGTGCTCGTCATTGTTGTTGATGATGGTGGTGGTGTTGTTGACATGGTGAGGAGAACAATGTGTCCCCAAGTTCAGCCTTGTGGATCAAGTGAAAGTGAACAATGATGATGATGATAATGAGATGGAAGACAAATCAAGTTCCGTCCTTGACCCCAGATTCAGAACCCGTTCCCAGATATCTGTTGATATCCGGCTTATTATCATGTCCTCCATGCGTCCTGTCATCTTTCTTGGCCACCGAGGCAGTCGATTGGACGGGAATTCGAGGCGGGAACATTGGACCTGGGCCATCTGGCCCATCTGGACCTGAGGGGACTCACTCGATGGAACAGCACAAGTGAAAGGATGGAAGCGGGAGCGGCGGCCGTTACGGCGGGGAAGGGGAGCGGTTGGGTTGGGTTGTGGATAAAAGCTACCCCGGAACCCCACTTTCCCCCACCTTTCCGATCATCCTGAAGACCTCAACCCCAAAACTCCCACTTCCCATTCGGCCCACCCCACTCAAATCCCCAAATTCTGGGGAGGGGAAACGAGGGGGAGCTTGAGAGGGCCAAGGCAGACTCGTTCGCTCGGTAGGGAAAAAAGCGCCAAGAGGGCACGCAATGCCACGGCTGATTTGCTTCAAGTGCGGAACACTCGGCAGTTGTTAACCAGAACAAAATTGGGGTAACGATTTCCTTTGTGATAATCATCACAGGAATTCACGGATCACGCTCCGACAATGCCGTTACACTACCCAAAATCCTCGGCTTCGGCCAATCGGATGTATGATTCCGGCCTTTTCATTTGCTGCGATTTGCTGACTTACACAGTAGACAGGCAAAGAACGGTGGATCCGCTACATACTTTTTACCGTCTGGTAAGTCCAAGGCCCGCAAAGGAGGTTGATAATGAATGTGAACTGGGAAGGGCCATCAAAGGAGGACACAGGAAATCACAAGAACGAGAGGGTTTGAAAGAACCTAGGTAGTCTTGTCCAGTTCCTCGCTTCACCTGCTCGGTTCTGGTTGCTCGTCTTTGCCCAGGGGCAGCCCACTGGGTAGGTCTCTGGAAGACACTGCAGGGTATGTACCTGTAAGAAACCGGGTATGTGGGAGACAACTAACTGGTGGAGAAGAGAGGGGATAGACGGGGATGGATGTACATACACGTATAAGGGACAGGTACCCGAGAGCTACCTACCCCCTACCTCTACATACACGTACAGACTGCACAGCCGATCCATTTCGGTCCGATGGTTCGGTTAGGATCAATGGACATGGTTCAGCTCGTGAGATTGCCCTTCCCTCCGTTATCAAACCTGAAAACAACGAAAAAGTTGTATTATGAACGGCGGGCGACTTGAGTGGATGTACGCAGTGAGGTAAGTTTACCCCAGCTCCTTGATAAGTAGGTAACTTAGGGTTCAACGCTTTCCACTTTTATTATCAAACACCCTCTACAGACGTCCGGCTCGGTTCGGTTCGGTTCAGCGCAAACTCCGCGTTAATCCCTAGCAGATAACTTTATCAACAACGGTCATGTATTTACTGCACTTTTCATGGTAGGCTCACGAGGGCAGGAAAGAGAACAGGGACTAGGGAAGTTGGTAAGTGAGACATTGTTAGTTAGCTTTAGCTTTTTTTTGTCTGGGGGACTTACTCTAGGGACTCTTGGTGTCTTGGTGTCTCAAAAAGGTGGTGAAGTGAAGGTCGCTAAAACTAGACCGAACTGGCTATCCCACCCGATGTGTAAGTGTACTGTGATGGAAGCGGCATGTTCTCCGTCTTGTCTCATTTGCCTAGACTACCTAGACTTTTGGGATACCTAATTGTCTTCCCACTTGACATACTGTACTGTGCTGTGTGCCAGGGCCGAGTGTCGATTGGGCTCAGTTGGGTTTTGGGAAACTCGGTTGGAATATCGTTCGGCTGTTATGTACAGTAGGAGAACTTCAGTCGCTTGATTAGCGTTCGAGTTGGAGACTCGGTCGGTCAGTCGTTCGGTAGGTCGGGGTGTTCGGGCAAATTCGGATACCGTAAATCTTGCGATTTGCGACGTTCGTTAGGTACGATTCGACTGTCGACGTTTCTTTTCTCGGTTTTGAAACAGGTGTTGTAAACACGTGAAATCTGAGACATGTATGTGATGGACCCCGACCTTGTGCGCGTCTCGGCGAGAATGAATGATTGATACGAAGACGAACATCGATGGTCAAACATGTGTAAAGCCGTTTGATATTAATTCTGGATGTGAATAGTGAATCAGAGATGCGGCGGCAGTGTACAGAGAATGCCATGACAAACGATCAAGCAATTGATAAAGTTCATATGGTTTGATCCCCCATCTGGAGGTTAAAAACGCTGGTATTCAAAAACACACTTAATGTACCCTCTATCAATGTAACCGCTCCTCTTTCTTGTTCCCAAGACAGAGCATTTAGTATGTGGGTTGTGTTGAGCTCAGCAGCTACCGCGCGTACCAAGCTACAAGCTAAATGCAATCCATCCTACCTGTGAGAGCTTACGAGGGAGCCTTTTCGTATCCGACAAAAAGACATAAAATCCATAAATCATGCATGTTTTTCTTCTTCTTCTTCTTCTTCTTCTGCGATCCAGATGCAAATGCTAAGATAAAACAACGAGAAGAAATCAAGATAGCCAGCTCATACACACACAAAAAGAAAACAAGGGAGCCCGAAAAAGAGCTAGAAACCCAAAAACAGACACAAAAGGCCAAAACCAAACAAACAAAAATGGGAAAGAATGAAAAGGGGTATTATGACGTGCGACGGCAGATGGCCGCCGCCCCAGACGATGAAAAGGGAGAGTTCTCGCCAGAACCCAGAACAGAAAAAGATTCGCAAATTGCGAAAGACGAGTTTGCCGCCGCCGCCCGCCCCGATCCAAAAGTCGAAAGTGCTGAAGTGCTGAAGTGCTAGACCATTTTAACCTCCCCAAAAAATAAAATAAAATAACTTCGAATAATTCGCAAAAGGCCGCCCCAGCAATTTTTGAGAAGAGTGTCGACGGAATGTCGATGACGAATCCGATAATGCCGTTCAATCGAATGAACGGTCCATGGTTAACCGTGAGGTTGTTTGTCTGTAAAAAAAAAAAAGTGGTTATTGTGGAAGATGGGTCGGAAGAAGTTGAAGAGTAGGTAGTCGTAAAGTCGTTCCGCTTTTTTGAGATTGTGTCGTCGTGGTGTCGTTCTTTCAGTAGTAGTAGTAGTAGTAATAGTAGTAGTTGTTGTTGTTGTTGTTGTTGTTGACGTGGTTCTTTAATACACCTGGCTCTTGTCGCGTCTAATCATGTGTTCCCATGGGACTGCTCCCCTTATCCTGCTCTTGCACTCCCCACACTCGATATCTCTGGAGAAATGGTGTTATAATCCTTTCCTGGTTTGAATGGTGGTTTTCAGGAGACAGGGCTTCAAGCACTCACTTGTGCTCAAAGTGAGCTACGTTCGGTGAGCACCTCTTGTGGGTAATGGTGTATTCACGACACCATGAAGAGGCTATCCAGCGGTAGTGCCGGCAGGCATATTCTCTCTGTTTGATGACATGTTAGTCTCTTGTTATAAAAAAGATGAAGGGGCTGAAGAGGGGACTCACCTGAATGTAGTCGCACATGATTCCTAATAGAATCTTTAGAGTGTGCAGAACTTGATAGCACAAGAAGTCGATTGGATTCTTTTTTGGTCGTTTGATGGTTCCTTGGAAACTCAAAACGGTTCCTGAGATGGGGCGGATCAACTGTGTTTATGGAGTTGATATGATGCTCATGTGACTGAAGCTATCAGAACGAATGGATGCAAAATGAAGCGGGAACGATACCCGTTCTTGTACTTGGCGGTCTCCATCATATCCACAATCCAGTTATTGACTCTCTCCACAGCAAACTTCATCAGCCCTACTTCAAAAACAACAATATGGGCATGGATGTTGTCGAAGTTGCGAATACGATGGGGTGCCAAAGTGGACAAAAACTGGCTTGCTAGTCAGGCCAGGCCTGGGGAAGTCTTGCGAGGTTAGAAGGTGGGAAAAAAAGAAACGCAAATGGTTCATGAATAACGAAAAAACCCCCTGTCTCGATCCAAGACACAAAGCCATAGTTCCAGAGATCGGGAAAGGAACGTCTGATCAAGGCTTTGCCAGTTCTTCCCAGAGAAGACAGTGCTTACTCTCACACTGTAAGAGGAATAGGTAGGAGGGTAAGCATCCTTGTAAGGGTGTAATGGCTAGCACCGACCAGCTAATTACTTCAAGGTCGCTTAGGTACCTTGGTGTGTTCCCAGGGCGCCAACTGGCCTCGACCTGGACCCAATCACAAACCCTAGCACACATCCTCTGGTGTTTGTCGGCCAGTCAGACAAGCAACCGGAGGATCACCCGAAAGACGACGAGAATGAAAGCGAAAAGCCCATCTCCGGACCGAGAGAAACAAATATGATATAACTGACAGAAGACATGGCTTTACTTTGATGCGCGCAAATACCTCTTTGTGCGCTTATCACAACCAACTGAAATGCATACATCGATCATGTCACCGGAAAAAGGGGGGGGGGTTGTCAACGAAAACATCGGTAGGTTTAGGTGCTGTAAATGCGTAAGGTACCTGGACTAGTGCCCAGGCAGTTCGGACTCTTCTACCTGATTTGGTTCAAGGCCTCAGAAGACCTACCGGGATGAAGTCATTTTCCCCTGCTTTCACAAGTGCTGTATGGCACCTTGGACAGCGCGTTGCAACTGCTGGGCAGTCTCCAGTGTCCACTGCCGGTTAATCACTCGCAGGTAATTGTCACTGTGGGTTTCGTTGAGGGCAACGTCTCGGTAACATCCGCGATGTAATGGCGCCATTACGACCAACTGAGCCAGAATACGTTGGTTCATACAATTCAAATCTTCCGGTGCTAATGCTAATGTCGGCGAGAAGCTCTGGAAAAAGACGTTGTCGCGGTGGAATCTTCGCGGGAGGCGCTCCGTGCGTTGATGTTAGTTCTGGCAGTGGTAACCCAAGGCCCCCGGCGTCAAATTCCGGATGGCTAGACCCCCGAATCCGCCAGAACTGTAATGGCTAAGGCAGCGACAGCCATATCACATATCACACTCGCGTTGCAACCTCTGAAGGGCCCCGGATAACAGCGCGGATGACGGCAATTGGATGACCTTGTCGTGATCGCCGCCCAATGTTCTGATGCTTCCTGAATCAGTACGGAAAAGGTTGCGCCCAGAAACGCCAGATTCACCAAGCCCCAGCCGGGTAGGCAACCAAATTCAGGGTCATGACCCAGCAGCGCGGGATAAGAAAGAAGAAAGGTCTAAAACGCGGGGGCGCTCCTGTTTGTTTCGACAATGCGGGTCTGAGTCTCAGAAAGGCACGCATGTAAAGTGACGCACATGGTGAACTTGACGAAGATCGCAGTGGCCTCATGAGCGTCGTAGGACAATCATCAAAGGGCGTAATTTCGTCGGTGATTCGAGTCCCTTCAACGACAGGTTTTGGTCTTGTGAGACCGTCAGGTACCGTACCCCTGGTGGCATGAACGATTCATGAACGGTTAGCGGTTCCAGCACATTGGGGCGTTGAACTTGTTCCTAAGCCTACTGCGGAGAAGCGCACATCCAGGGAGCGCTAGCTAGCATGCTGGCTTCGAATCGCTTCACAGTGCCCGCGAGGGTCAGAGGTATGGGGACTTTTTTCATGAACCGGAGCCCGTTTATGCCGCCGAGCCTGGCAACCAGGGCCGCATGTCTCCTGAAAGTCTCCGGGACTAGGGCCCGTTGGGTATGTGTTCAATGAACCGCCGGTGCTTGACGAGCAGCGAGCACAGTTTTTGACAAGTGATCGTCCGGCCAGCTGGGACCAGGAGACATGGGGCAGCCATGACGTACTCTGGGAGTAGTCAAGGATTACCTGCTACGGACAGCAAACCGGAAGCGGCCCTAGCGACCCGTCCCAGCCGTTGCTGAGCTCAGGCTGTTGCGAAAAGCCGGGGTGCATGATCGCGGCGGGTGGGTTGAAACTTGTGGTAGGGTATGACGGAAAGCATGCCCGTTGATGTCTCGGGAGGGATGGGTCAAGTCGGTGGACTCGCCCGTCGTCGTCGTCTGACGGGTATAATTTTAGTATGTCTTGCTTTCCTTTTTCCTTCCTCAGTGGGCTGTTCAACACCGAGCAAGGGCAATCCAGAACCATCAGCCAAGCCATTGCTAGTGAAAGTTGGCCCAGGCTGTGCCTCTGTCAAAAGCTGTGCTGGATATCAGAATATCTCCAGGCACCGCCAGATCGAGTTCGTTTGTCCAGCCACATGCTGGTTTGGGACCTGGATTTGACCGAGCTAGCTGGCTCCCCGCTACCGTCTGGATGGGATATCCCATATCCGTGGTGTTGGGAAACTCTGTCGGTTGGCAATGGAATGTTGAACGGTGCAGATACCAACGTGCATTGAAGGCCGTGACAAGTCTTCGAGTGCCATCTACCTGGTGACCGAGTGCCGGTCGCTATGCTCATCGGTAATGTCCGCAATGAAAATCCTGTGGACCCAAGGGAGAGTCAATCAGAGGGGCCCGGCTACCGTACACGACAGTATCGTGAGTCCGGATTGGCGGTATTGTGCAAATTGGCGTTGGCGTCCTTGTCAAATTGGGGTGGAACTGTTCATCGAAGTTGTTGTGAGAAGGAAGGGGAGAGATGGAATGTTGGAATTGGAAACGGGAGTTGGGGATGATCGGCAGGGCACTGGCAGGGCATCTCATCCAAGGTGTTAAAGCCCGAATGCCGAAGTGGCCCCGCCGGTTGACAGTGTCGGGCTGTGCTGTGCTCTGCAGGTGGCGCCTGTCAGCGGGCAATCAGTGCAGATGACAGCAGATGACAGCGGGCGGCAGGCGCTGTGACACGCAAACAACTTCTGACATCTAGCACCACCTTCCATCTTTGGAACGCAACCTCAAACTCAACTTCGGGAACACAGAACTTTATTCCAACGTCAATAGACACTCGACGTCAATGACCGAACCTCAACTTACTCCTTCCCATCTTCCGCTCAAACTTCTTCATCATGTCGCTCAACTACAACCGGCCGCGGCATAATTGTGGCTAAAGCAATGAGACGCAAGAATCCAAGATGATCTTCGTCACGGAGGGCACATGATACCTTCAGTCACCAAAGCAAAGGCAGGCGTCAAAGTATTGTTAAAGGCTTGATTGACTTTTGCGAAGAGGAACAAGAGCTCGAGTACCAAATGCGAAAGGAAAAAGTGGAAAAAGAAGAAAGGGAAACCGAAAGGAAAATCCCAGCCCACGACAAAGCCAAACTTCCGTCAAAGTACAAACGGCTGACCCTTCAGGCCTTCCAACGTCCAGTCATCATGACTACTGAAAGCTCGACATCATCTGACTATTGTGTGTCTGGGTTGCATGCCAGCAACCACCGCCAACCCTTCCCCAGTTTTGCTTCAGAAGAAGCCACTACCTCTGACCCAACCTCTCCTACCATCCCCCAACACCCCCAAGCTAGACCCTAAGGACCAGAATCCCGGGATTGCACTGCTTTGTGGCAATTTACTTGCCGCAGGGCTTCCAGGCGAGGTTGATCTGCTGAGTGAAAGCAACGGTGGCATCGTCATCGGTGATCTCGCCAACAGCACTGGAGTTGGAGCTGGTGAGCGCAATGCGGTTGTTGACGTTGAGGATACCGTTGGAGCCGCAAGGCGAGTAGATGTAGCTGGCAGTGGGGACCTTGTCGGTCTTGGTGTAGACCTGGCCCTCAGCCCAGATGCCGCCACCGCTGATGGTGGTCTGGGTGGTGGTGGTGTCCGAGGGCGCCTGGGAGAAGTAGTAGGTGCTGAAGAAGGTGCCAGTCACACCGGGCTCGAGCAGAGCATAGCCGTGGTACGTGCTCTCGAGAACGGAGAACTGGAAGCCACCGGGATACTGTGCATCATTGGCTCGTTAGACGACATCATCTCCGACTGGGGCGGGTTACGGGGAGCCATACCTTGAGGTTCAAGTGAAGCTGGCAGTTCTTGGTCTTCTCTGTCGGGTTGTACCCCTGACCGATGTAGACCTGGAATCTGTCGAAGCCAAAGGTGATGACCTTAAATGTTTGTCCAAAATCAGTATCGGTTGCCAAACTCGGATCTCGTACCTGGTAGTCTTCCAGGACAGGGAAGTCAACCACCCCGTGCTGTTCCACCCAGCACCGGTGCCGTTGTTCCAACGTACCGTCTTGTCCGGAGAGATGCTGGTCGACACGGTGCCTTGAGGGCAGCCGTTGCCAGAGAAGGTGGCGCTGGTGATCTGGATCTGCTTGGGATCCGGGCCATCAGCCCAGCCATCGGGAGAGGGCTGGACAATACCCAAGGGGCTGGCGACGGCGAGAGCGGGAAGGAGGTAGGCGACGGCGAAACGCATTTTGGCTGAGTTGTCAAAGATGATCGTCGAAAGGGATCAAGGTGTTCGATAGAGATCAGGAAAGATCTGAGGGCTTCTTGGTTCTGGAGGCTGGAGAAGGCTGGAGAAGGCTGCTGTGATGCAGAAAAAGAAGTCTATCTTGTCGTGGGATAGCCGCCGTCTTTATACTCGTGTCGGAGGTGAGACCCATCTCGTCATCTTTGGGGTTCTCTGCTGACTTATTCCTCCTCTTCGTGATCTGATTCCGAAGAGCTTCAGCTTCCGAGACGGAGGGCTCTTGGAAAGAACCATACACGGCACCCCTGGTTTGGCCACTGTGGTGATGCTAACCTGTCGTCTGTCGCCAAGAACGCATGACCTTTCGACTATTCGCTCCGGTACCAACTTGCTTCAGTTCCCTTCCACAACTCTGACTCGATCCCAGCCGCAAAGAGATCTCAACCCTTGACTCGCCCATATTGAACTTTGTTTTGGTTCTCCCGTCCAGAGCCGAAAAGGACCGCGCTAGAACCGATATCTAAGGTTGACGAGATTCATGGGTCGCTGCAACGAATTTGCGGATGAAGTGAGGATAAATGAAGCGCATATTAAAACGGGACGTCTGCCTTTTAAAGGGTCGCCTCATCGGGATGTCGTACCAAGCTTTGGCCGTGCCGAGACCAAGGCTACTGGTCTTCGCTTCCTAACAACGCATCCGTCGACACTTTAAAGTTGTGGGGTATCCAGGAACCGTGATTCTTTTTTTAGGTCCTCCCATCCATCCATCCATCCAGCCTTGCTCAGCAGCTGCTGCAACGTCCAGCTCTTCTAAACATCTTGGATCGAGACCACACACAACATTTGATCGTGGTCAGTCGTTGTGTGGTTCGCAAGGGCCCGATGTAACCTGGCAGCGTGAATACCAGATCTGGTCGCTGGGGAACAACCATCATGTCAGCAACATCCCGGAAGGATTGCAACACAACCCGTTACAGCGTGGCATCTGCGTTCCGTTCCCACGGCGGTTCCTAGGAAAGTCGGGGCTATCAGATATCTCGGACGTACAAACCCGCAACGATTTCCAGGTACAGATAGGTAGATATGCACAAAGGGCACCGAAAGGTGAGCTTTAACATGTTCATTAACGTTCTTAAAAGTCAACTAACCCTCGATAGTGATGCTATTTTTACTTCCGTCGAACGCTGCACTGCATTTGCCACTGGTCTGAAAATCGCCCTCAATATACCGGCGCATTGCGCTCTCCAAGCATGTCAGACGGGTTACTCCCTCTGTCCCGGCTGACTGATAGTATCTAGGCTTTTTGTTACTTGACACAATTCAGTCCACTTGACTGACGCCGGCCTATCGTGGCCATACGGGCTCAACAATAGACATTTGCCGGCTCCAGGTTCCGAGTTTTTGAATGGCTGTGCAAATCGCAGTCAAAAAAATAAGCCATTGACCAATGAGAATTACGTAAACCACAGAGGACTCCATGAACCTCTGGTATCATCTCCCTTTCTTCCATCAAAGGCATTCCATTCCTCAACACTCCTGCATACTAGGCAATAACATGGCCGAAAACATGGTCGCTATAGCAATTTACTTGTTATTCTCCGGACCAACTTCCCCCGTTCCAAGGACGTCGTGGCGTGAGTTTTGAAGGCGTTATCAAGGTCCTTCATTGTTCTCTCTCTCTTGGCTTTACTCATGAAAATGACAGAAATAGCATAGAGATGAAATACTTACCTCGTGTTGTATGACCTCGCGAGTAAACACAGGCCCCTCTCAACATATCATTAGTAAGAAAGCACCATATCACAACACATCTCGAGATCTCATATTCTTCCCCAGCCTTATTGTCGCGGCTCTTCCATGCGCCCGAGCCCTGCATTTCTCCTTGTGGGAGTTCTGCACTTTTACAGTTCTATGCCTCCGCCACACCCGCTCTTGCTTGCTTGCTTGCTTGCTTATTCTCGGACCGGGATCAGTAGAGAGAGGGGATATGACGAGAACTCTCCGCAACATGGAGCCATCACAGGCACTCGCACTCACACACACGCGCGCGCGCACATACAAAATCTATGAGTTGCGCCAATGCCACCCGTCCATCCATCCACATCTAGGTCAGGTAACCACCACCCAAGAGAAGCTTTCTCCGGGTTACAGGTACCAGAAGGGGCTTGCAGCTATCCCGTCAGTACTACCTCTACGTTTCGTAGATACCAGGAAACGGATTCTAAACGTACAAGAGAGACAAGAATAGCTACACATAGATTGGGACTGGCAAGGGGTTAGCTACACATAGATTGGGACTGGCAAGGGGTTAGGCTCGGGTGACATGGTGGCTTCCACGCCAACCAGGTACGACTACCTTCTCTACACGGAGCTTGACCGTAGAGGAGACAAATTGACAGAGTGGTGGTGGTGCTGCATTTAGTTATCACTCAAGGTTAACACTCGAAGCTTAAAGGATATTGGTGATGGATAATAACGGGGCTACAGAACCCGCACAGCTACCTACCTATCTGCCATGAAGACAATGGTAATTTGCAAAGAGTTCGGTGAGCTTTGGAGGGTAGAGGTAAGTCACATAGGGTCATGTTGAAACTTTATCAACAAGTGGCCTATGCAGAGACTAAAAAGGAGGGCATCCATCAACTCAAGTCCAGGTATGTGTGTGTGTGAGTGTGTGAAGTGTTTGCAAAGGCTACTACGCTAAGGGTTCTTCTTTCCTCTAACCGCACCATTCAAAGATTTTGAAGAGCTACTGTACTCTTGAATAGCGATCCAAGGCTCAGAATCCAAAGCGGAGCACAGCCACAACTAGTACGAACCATGCACCAGCAATTTGAGAACCATGAAAATGGTAAGGGAAGCAGAACTCTGGTTGTGGCCGTCCGTCCGTCTGCAGGACCAGGTCAACGAGAAAACATAAGGTACCTTACCTTACTTACGTTCATCATGTACATTGCAACTATCTACCTATCTTCTTGGACTCTACACAACATGCAGAAGGCACCTTATCCTACCTTTACCTACCCAACAGCCTCGCAATGTACTATTATTTCCTCAGTTTGTTTACTTGCAACCTTTTTCTGTCATGCTCCTTCCCACAGTATTTCCTCACTTCACTACCTATTCCAGCTTCTCTCAATTCCTCCCTTCTTTATCCACTCAAAGCAATTCCGTAAGTCCTCTCCTCTTTCCGCTCATAGAAACCATCCCATTCAGTCAGCCAGAATGGGGAGCCCACATCCTCAGTCTCGAACTCGGCTTACCCCTGCCGAGGCTGAATGACATATGTATGTACCTTACCTAGGTACAATACCCTATCTAGAAACGAAACCCAAAACCTCAAAAGTCAAAACCATGGTCCCTGCAACCCTGGCTCGCACTCACTGTATTTGAATGGTGTGTCATTGGTGGTGATGGTACACTACATTACAGACAGGTTGCAATACCACGTTGATCATTCGATGATCCGGGACGCTTTGGCCGAAAGAAAAGCTGGGTTGGAGGGGTTCGAGGGGTTGTACACTACCTATGTAGTTCATTCAGTTACGCACCATACACCGAGGTATGTGGAAAAGCTTCGACGTTGCATTCATTGTAATGGAGGGAAAGGTATCCTAGAGTTTGTTGCCGTATTTAGCAACATTTTGACGACGGCAACTTATGTGTTCGGCTCTATATCACCTGGCTACACTGCAATAGCTAACACAGTGAATAGTTACCTGAATAAAAGAAAGTCAATCGTCCTAGCTCTAGAACGAAGGGAGAGCCATATTTCTCTTAAACCCGGGCTCACTGGATTGCTGCAATGTCCAATGTCTGGATCAGTCTCAAGTCTGGATTAAATGGAGGAGGGGTCAGGTAGCGAATGCAATATATACCACCTACCAGTAACCTCCTCCTCGCTAAACCCGATTCCATAACTCGGGAGGCCCATGGCCGTGCGTGCCGTGTTTTTTCAAGGTATAATGTTCCTTACAGCTGGATATTGGCCCCAAAAATAACTGCAATATATTTTTTCCTTCTCTTTTCTCTCGTCCTAAACCTCCGGTAGCCGGCCGGACCTGGGAAACTTTCCGCTCGTTCGCTCAGTTATGGACGATGTTTACGTTCGGATGTCATCTTCCGAAGCGCGAAACGCGACGCGGATTTGCCAGATCCAAGCGGCTTGGTTGACTTCAACAAAACAAAACACCAGGACAATCACTGAATCATGGGAAGGCTGAAGACACGATGGAGGCGTTGCAAAAAAAGTTGAATTAACAAAAAAATGAACAATACAAAATAGACGGCCTCGGCAACTCGACTCATTCCCCCTTTTGAGAGAATGAGACCAACAGGCAACGTCCTAGTTATAATACATACATAACAAGGTAGGTAGAGCTTTGCTTTCTCGCATACACGCACGCTCGCTCGCACGCTCGCTTCTGTCCTGTAATCCAGAAGAATATACACCATCGCGACACTGTGTAATCGCTGACAATGACTTGGCACTGATAGCCAATTCCAACAACAACCAACACCCCGTCGTTCAACACATCAGTCATTTAAATCATACGCGCACGCATTTACTGTCCCTCAACCTGCTTGAGGATACCCTCGAGGTTGATGGACTTGGGGCGCTCGATCGGCAGACCCAGGGCTCTATCCCAGATGAGCTGCGCGAGCGGGCCGAGACCACGCGAGACGCCGAAGGTGGCGGTGTAATAGAGGGTCTCGTGGAAGCCGTAGTGGTGGAAGAGGACACCGGACGAGGAGTCCACGTTGGGGTAGGGGTTCTTGGTCTTGCCGTGCTGCTTGAGCACCTCGGGGCAATCTGGCTGTTCTTGAGCACGAGCTGGAAGACGGGGTCGGCCGCGATCTTGGGGCGGGAGGCCGCGTAGTCCATGAGGGCCTCGAAACGGGGATCGGGCTTGCGGAGAACGGCGTGGCCGTAGCCGGGCACGACACGGCCAGAGTTGAGCGTGTTCCAGAGGTAGTCACGCACGTCCGAGTCGGTGTAGGAAGAGGGGATGGCCTCCTTCATCTGGAGGATCCAGCGGAGCACCTCCTGAGCGGCAAGGCCGTGGAGAGGGCCAGCGAGACCCTGGAGACCGGCGCTGTAGGCGAGGAAGGGATCGCTCAAAGCACTACCGACCAAGTGGGTGGTGTGCGCAGAAACGTTACCACCCTCGTGATCACCGTGAAGAGCGAGGTACAACCTCAGGAGATCCTGGAAGTTCTCGTTCTCCTTGCCGGGCTTGCCCAGCATGGCAGCAAAGTTGTAAGCCCAATCCTGCTCGAGGTCGACCTCGGCGGGGAGAGCACCGCCGCCCCTGTACGAGTTCTGGTAGATCTTGGCGGCAATGGTAGGGAGCTTGGCGAGGAGAGAAATGCAGTCGTCAAAGGTAGGCTCCCAGTAGTCAGCCTTGTTCAGGCCCTGCTCGTAGGCCTTGGCGAACTTGGAGGTATGGTTGAGGGCCGAGACGGCAATGGCAAACTGGGTCATGGGATGGAGGTCCTTGGGGAAGTTGTCGAGGAGCTTGTTGACAAAGTCGGGCAGGGCAGCCTGTTCGGCGAGCTCACGCGAGAACTGGCGGACCTGGTTGGTGGAGGGGACTTTGCCGGTCAAGAGAAGCCAGAACATGGCCTCGGGAAGCATCTCGGTGCCATTCTTGCCCTTGGGGAGCTCCTTCTGGCAGTCCTTAATGGTGCGGCCGTGGAAGCGAATACCCTCGTTGGCATCGAGTACGGAGCCCTCCCAGATCATGGCCTTCAGGCCACGCATGCCACCGATTGTGTTCTCGACCTTGACCTCGCCCAGCACCTTGTTTCCATGGGCCTTGACCTTCTTGAAGAGCTCGCGCTTCTCGGGAATGGCCTCCTTGAGGACCGTCTTGAGATCGGGCTCGGCGGTAGCATAGCCTCGTCGCGAGACACGGGCGTGGTTCTGCAGAAAACGAAATGCACATGTTAGCAAGGCTGTCCTGTGCTGTCAAACGCCAAAAAGTGGAATTCTGACTTCATCCCAAGACGGGATATGGGGAAAAGTTGGGGAACGCAGGGAGACGCAGGGACGGGAGATGCGCGAGAGACGGAGAAAGATGCGATGACCTGACTCGCGTCCGCATAACGGGGGCATAACACTTACACGAAGGGCTCCACCGAGGGCCCGGGACCCAGTTCTAAGGTTCATGGCCATCTTGAACTTTGTGTGTATACTGTAAATCTAACAAGCAAAAAATTGGGGGTATCGACGCTGCTGAAGAATAATCAAACAAGAAGAGGTGCCGACTGCTCGATCTACCCTAAATATTATATCACACCGGTCAGTACAACTTCAACCAAGACCACATGCGCAACAACACGCTGCTTCTCCCACCGCTGCCCAGCCGAGGGATAAGGTGGAGTCCCAGTTGGAGCTGCCCCAGAAGCGGAACACTGGAGCCGCCCGCCTGTGGACTGCGTGGGCAAGTGGAAGACGGGACATGATGGGGCCGCTGAGGGCCTGGGGAAATGGGGAACAAACGTGCTGGAAGACAGCTGTCAAAATGACAAGAGCGGGGTTGGAATGGAGGCAGGTATGGGGAGCATATGGGGGCATTTGGGGGGCAGCGCTGACAAACTGGGGAAAGGACTCCATCTCGTACCTGAGGTTTTCTGTTTGACAGTCTGGGGAAAGTGGAAGCAAACTGGAAGCTGCAGACAGTGACTGACTCGTTGAAGTGAGTGATGTCGTCGTCGATGTCTTATAAACAAAAGGATGGGATTCACAGGGCCACAAGCACGCCGAGCAATCTCCAGGAACCGCGTCGCCTTTTTGTCTTTTTTTCTCCCAACCAGAAGCCCTTGGCGGCTTCCCACGGTCATCTGGCTTGTGACGACGTTGCATCGCCTTGTCTCGTTTGGTCCAACCCCACGCCAATCCGTCCAGTTTTCCAGTCTCACAACCGAGGAAAGCCGTCTCGGCAGCGCCCACGGCGGCCACGGCCAGCTTCCTCAACGGGCTTAGAGGATGGCCTCACTAACAGAGTCTGCGTGTGTCTCCCACCCAGATATGTTAGTCTACCCTGGCCAAGCCCGTCCTCCTTTCCTCCAGGCCATGCCCCTCCTCTCTCCTCATGGGATCGCATTGCCCCCTGAAGGGCCGATCTGGGGGAGACGCGGGGAAGCGTGACAGGTGCCATTGGCCAATGACGGACAAGATAATCTTCCTCGGCTGTTGCCACTCAGGTTGCATTGTCTGGCGGCGTTTGGCAGCGGCCGTGTTCGATGTCCGGAGGAACGGACGTCGCAGTGAGTGTTGTGAGGCCGATAGCTATGCCGAGATGGACCTCACTCTCCTTTTTTATGGACCTCCTCCAACCTCTCATGGAGGGGAAATGGAGAGTCCTCGCTGTGCACTGCCCGTGTTGGGCATAACGTCGGTCAAATTGGCGCCCAGGCCCAGGTTACTGTCCAGTTTGTCACGTCACAAGATGTATGGAGATATGGAGTCGGCACCGTCGGGGCAGCGTCGGGGAAGCGGTACCGTAGTCAGCACTCACAACAGGGGGCGATATCGCAACAAAAACATGACAATTTGCCAGGCTTGTCACTCTTGACTCCTCCTGTCTACGTAATACAAGTAGCTGATTAGCTTAATAATTGTTTTGCAGTTTTGTCGTTCTCCAACTTGAACAAACTATCTTTCCCCGAGTCGATAGTCCTGATATCTTCTTTTCTCCAATTCCCACCTTCAAAACTTACACCTACATTTCTCCCCCACATTCAGGAACCGCTAGCTGCCCCGCGGAATTTCACTGATCCAACGCACCTCATCCCAGACAACACAGTTGCACTTCTGAAAAGTCCAGCTTTGGTTCTGTTTTGAGCCCACTGCAAAAGCAGCTGCAAGTACACGAGTCAGTTACCGACTTCCACACGCTCTGAAAGCTACAATGCTTCGCAGGGCAATCCCCAGAGTCTCCCGGCGAACCCTCCCGGCGCAGACTTCATCATCCCTCTCTGGCCTTTGCGCCCGCACCACGAGAACCGCCAGCACCCCCGGGCACGCTCGCCTCCTTTCGACATCAGCTGCCAGGATGACCGGTTCCTCGTCTTTGGCTCCTGTTGAGCCTCCCTTCTCCTCGACCCTCCCTGCCGAGTCCTTCCAGCTTCTTCCTGAGGAGAAAAAAGCCGGCGCCGCCGAAGATGCCCTCCTCCAACAACAGGTCAAGGAAGTTGAGGCTTGGTGGGCGTCGCCGCGCTTCAAGGGCATCAAGCGCGACTGGTCTGCCGTCGATGTCGTGAGCAAGCGTGGCTCGCTTCAGCAGACCTATCCCTCCTCCGTCATGGCCCGCAAGCTCTGGAATTTGGTGCAAGAGCGTTACGCCCAGGGCAAGCCCATCCACACTCTGGGTGCTATCGATCCCATCCAGATGACCCAGCAGGCGCCTCACCAGGAGGTTCTCTACATCTCGGGTTGGGCATGCTCCTCGCTTCTGACCACCACCAACGAGGTCTCTCCTGACTTTGGCGACTACCCCTACAACACCGTTCCCAACCAGGTCCAGCGTCTGCACAAGGCCCAGAGCATGCATGACCGCAAGCAATGGCACCTGCGCAGCAAGATGACCCCTGAGGAGCGGGCCAAGACCCCTTACACCGACTACTTCCGTCCCATCATTGCCGACGGCGACACCGGCCACGGCGGTTTGACCGCTGTCATGAAGCTTGCCAAGCTGTTTGCCGAGAACGGTGCGGCCGGCGTCCACTTTGAGGATCAGATGCACGGAGGCAAGAAGTGCGGTCATCTTGCCGGCAAGGTCCTCGTCCCTACCGGTGAGCACATCAACCGTCTCAAGGCCGCCCGCTTCCAGTGGGACGTCATGGGTACCGAGAACCTCGTGATCGCCCGCACGGACTCGGAGAGTGGCAAGCTGCTCTCTTCCTCCATCGACGCCCGTGATCACGAGTTCATCCTCGGTGTCGCCGACACTTCCATTACCTCGCTCGCCGAGACTCTCGCCGACATGGAGGCCCGCGGCGCCCCCGGCCCGGAGATCGACGCCTACGAGGCCGACTGGGTCAAGAACACCAAGCTTGTCACCTTCGACGAGGCTGCCCTCGCCCACTTTGAGAAGCACAACGTCCGTCAGGACCTCTTTGGTACCTACAAGGCCACCATTGCCCAGAACCCCAACATGGGCATCACAGCCCGCCGCGCTCTCGCCAACTCCATCACCCCCGAGAACCCCGTTTACTGGGACTGGGACGTCCCCCGTACGCGCGAGGGTTTCTACCACTTCCGCAGCGGCATGGCGGCCGCCACCAAGCGCGCCCTCGCCTTCGGTCCCTACGCCGACCTCCTCTGGGTTGAGACGGGTGACCCGTCCGTCGAGGTAGCCACCGAGCTCGGCCGCGCCGTGCGCGACAAGTTCCCCGGCAAGGGCCTCGTGTACAACCTTTCTCCCTCGTTCAACTGGATGGCCCACGGCTTCACCCAGGACACGCTCAAGTCGTTCATCTGGGACATTGCGAAGGAAGGATTCACGCTCCAGCTTGTGTCCTTGGCCGGTCTGCACAGCACCGCCACCATCAGCAGCGAGCTGGCCCGCCGCTTCAAGGACGAGGGCATGCAGGCGTATGTGGAGTTGGTGCAGAAGCGCGAGAAGGAGCTCGGTGTTGATGTGCTCACGCACCAGAAGTGGAGCGGCGCTAACTACGTTGATGCCATTCTTGGACATATTCAGAGCGGCAGCTCGACTAACAAGAGTATGGGCGAGGGTAACACTGAGAACCAGTTCTTGTAAGGGAGTTTTTTCTGTGGGGGGAAGTCGGGATACAGTACGTACATGGTTGAAGTGAGGTGTGAACAAATCACCTCCTATGGTAGAGGTTGAAGTCAATGGGGGACTTGCTAGGCGGGCGGCTATTTCGGATTCAGTTGGTTGGCTCAAGGCGAAGTTCTTGCATGGCATTTCATGGGGCGTCTTTTTCCAATGTTCTTTTTGCTTTTTGTTTTTGTTTTCTTGGTTATTGCAGCATACTTTTATTGGTCTCCAAGAAGTAGCCTAGCTGCTCTTGTTGCGTTATGTGGCTAGCTAGATCGTTGTTACTTATACGAAAGGTTCTTTGTGGATATCACTGTCATATCATCTTCACGTAGATGTAATGTACGATGGTAGCTGTCTGTACCTTGCATACCTACCACATCCATATCGTTGTGCATCATCTTGACCACGTACATGCATGAACCTCACATCGCCTCGCTTTATACCTTCACATACATATCAGGGAACGTGGCCTTTCTTCTTTTTTGCAGTGCATAATGTACGAAAAAAAATCATCGTTAATCATAATCTCTCTCTCAGACCTAGTAAAACCCCTTCGTCCAAGTCTACTCCTCCAACGTCTCCTTCAGCGCATTATTAACCGGCGCCGCCGTCGCCGGTCCCTCCGGTGTGACATACGCCTTGGTCATGCCTCCATCAACCACCATATCATGCCCATTAACAAAGCTCGCCTCATCGCTCGCCAGAAACACGACCGCCTGCGCCTGCTCCACCGCCTCCCCAAACCTTCCGCTGGGGAAATGGATCTCCCTCCTCATTCTCTTGGCCTTATCATCGCCCAACCAATCCTGCAGTAGCGGGGTATTCAGGGGCGCCGGACAGAGGGAGTTAAACCTGAACCCCTCGCGCGCATGCACCATGGCCAGCTCCCTCGTCATGGCCAGCACCGCGCCCTTGGAGGCCGTGTAAGCCAGCTGCGGCGTTGCGGACCCGACCAAAGCCACCACGCTGGCCGTGTTGATGATCGACCCCTTGGTCTTGTGGTGCTTGCGCAGAGACAGCACCGCGTGCTTGCACCCGAACCAGACACCCTTGACGTTGATGTTGTGCGTCAGGTCCCAGATGGCTTCGGGCGTGGCGACGGCGTCGTCGTCGCGCGCGTGCATGATGCCCGCGTTGTTGAATATGATATCCAGGCCGCCCCAGGGGTCGAGGGCTTCGACCATTTTTTGCACGTCGGATTCTTTGGAGACGTCGCAGACCTGTTTTTTTTTTTCCCAAAAAGTTAGTTTGGGTTTGGCCCTTGGAGGAAAAAATGGGTGGTTTTTTTGGAGGTGGTGGTAGTTGTAGCAGAAAAGAGGTAGGTGAACGTGACGTACAATGGACTCAACTCGCGATGCGCTGGGCACCAGCTGCTTGACTTTGGCTTCGGCGCGGTGGACGGCTTCAGCAGAGATGTCGGCCATGAGCACGTTGGCGCCCTCTTTGGCGAAGAGGATGCTGGTTTCTAGGCCGATGCCTCTGTTTGGACGTGGGAACATCAGAAATCAGGTTTCTTTTTTCGGTGATTTTTTGGGGGGTGTCTAGACTTGACTTACCCAGCAGCGCCGGTGATGATGGCATTCTTGCCCGCAAGACGTCCAGGCATGATATGTATGAATTTGTTAGGAGATCGAAGTTAAAAATGAAGTCTTCCGAGGTTTGTCTTGCTGCGTAGGTGAACAACAGGAGGCTATCAAAATGTTATGTAGGTGGTTGCTATGAGGGAGGATTGTGAGCAGCGGGGCGGGATGTTGATTGATAAGGCTCACGGACAATGTAGAGAAATCTGGCGGAGAACAATGACGTTCTTCTTCTGAGATTCAGAGAAAGAGCAATGGCAAACGGATATCACAGAACAGAACAGATTGAAGCTTCAACAAACTCGCCTCAGGTGGACTATCTCTTTCAGATAGCATCCAGCGAAAGACAACAAACACGGCAAGCTATCAAACGGGAGGAGGCGGTTTGTTGCTGATCCAAAAATGGATCCGAGAACGGCGATATTGTAACACTCACTCAGAAAGGGAGAGAGAGGTACATCGTGTTATCATGCCTGCTCCACCGCGAGACCACAGATTCGCAGACTGTCCCTCCTTTCGAGCCATGGCGGCTGTCAGCTGATCTTGTGACGTTTGATAAGCATCGCAAGCTCACTGGGTGGTGTTTCTGTTTGTCAGTCTCGACCCCGGCGTCACCAGTTAGCCAACAAGGTATGGATGGCCCTGCGCAGGAGAATGAGGGGCGGGTGATGGGGTGCGTCCCCGCCCTTAGCTTCATCGTGGAGATGATGTGGACTCGAGTGGATGGAATCGTGGACATTCCTGGCGTCATGGTTCTGTTTCACAAACTGTCTTGGTGTGATGGCAATTGTCTATGAATTTTCATCCCGACGAGCCCGAGTATCAGAGAAATGGCTTTGATCGCAATATGAGAACAAGGAGCGGCTTGTTCAAGAGGTTAGAGTCGGTCACCTGAGGACTTGATCAGCTGGTCAGAGCGGGGTTGCCAGTATTCGCCGATGACGGAGCTGTCTTGGAGCGAGAGGGTTGTTGTGACACGGTGAGCTTATCGTCGAGCGCCGGCTCTGACCGCGGGAGGATTATTGAGAATATTGATATGATGAGACAAGGTATTTATGATATGCTTCATTGACGGAAATTTCGACGAGATCGAGAATCGCATGATGGAATATCTTGCTTGCATTAGGAGAGTCACAGTCAGGTTGACCTTCAGCAGGTACAGTGCGTAGCTGTCAACCTCAAGTGAAAGCCAAGAAAGCCAAGGTACCTATATAGCCCTGGGGAGCTTCATGAAGAAGCCCAGAAGCCAAGGCGGTGACGTAAGGTCTCTCTGCTGCCAGATGTGATTGGCTGTAGCCCCAGTCGTTCCTGTCCGATAAGCTTATCAGTCCTCCGGTGCACACTCCCAGTTGCGGTTCAGGAACCCCTCGAGGTGATCGTCATCATCCCATCCGCCATTTCGTCTGGTTCATGAAACCATCTTTCGCGTCGTGCCCTTTCTTCCGTCCAACCTCGAGAACGGCAAGACAAATCACCTAAATCCATCTTCCTATACCGGCGACGAGGATTCCCTTTACAAGCCCAGCACACTTCTTCCGTCAGTGTCCGATCCTCCTCTCGAACGCTTGATCGCCGCTTTCAAGTCCTACACTTCTCTTTGTGCTTCTTTTGTACAGATTCCTACAAAAACCCGAGATTACCGATATCCAAAATGGCTCCGAACGGTAACGACAGCAAAGAATAACGGCGGCCCAGCTCCCTGACCTGCTCGCCAATGACAACTCAGTCAAGCTCGCCGGTATCGACGTCGACGGTCAACTTCGCGGCAAGCTTGTATCGAAGAAGAAGTTCCTATCTATTGCCGAGTCAGGTTTCGGCTTCTGCTCTGTCATCTTCGGCTGGGATATGCACGATCAGACATACATCAAAGAGCTGAAAGTCAGCAACAAGGAGAACGGATACAGAGACATCATTGCCATTCCAGATCTCAACAGCTTCCGGCGCATCCCGTGGGAGAACAATGTGCCGTTCTTCTTGGTTAGCTTCCATGACCCTGATACCATGGAGCCCGTGTCAGCTTGCCCGCGTGGCCTGCTGAGAAAACAACTGGCAAAGCTGGGCGAGAAGGGATACGAGGCTATGGCTGGAGGTAAGTAACTCCTCTTGGTTAACGAGGCATAACAGAAGCGTGTCTAACTAGAGCCACGACAACAGCCGAGTACGAATTCTTCCAATTCCGAGCGCCCGCGGAAAGCTCTAGCGATTCAACAGCGTCCTACCTGAAGGAGAACCCTCCTCATTCCCTACCATCCCTGACCGAGGGCATGTTTGGCTACAGTTTGACACGACCGGTCCACAACAAGGATTACTACTACGATATCTTCAACACATGCGAAGAGTTCCAGTGCAACATCGAGGGCTGGCATACCGAGAGTGGGCCGGGCGTGTTTGAGGCTGCGCTCGAGTTCGGCGAAGTTAAGCAGATGGCCGACCGTGCCAGCTTGTTCAAGTACGCATGCTCTCCCCAGTAGTTTCCACATATACACATATTTGCTGCTAACAAAAGTGTTCCAGATACGTTGTCAAGTCTGTGGCCACAAAATACGGAATCACCCCTTGCTTCATGGCCAAGCCCAAGCAAGGCCTTCCCGGAAACAGCGGACATATGCACATTTCTCTCGTCAACAAAGATGGCAAGAATCTCTTGGCTCGCGAAGAAGCCGATCCCAACGCTCCGTATCCCGATGTCGCCTATCTTTCAGACCTGGGCAGACATTTCCTCGCCGGAATCCTCGAGGGCCTACCAGATATCATGCCCATGATTGCCCCAACTATCAACAGCTACAAGCGACTCGTCGAGAACTTCTGGGCACCCGTAACCGTCTCCTGGGGTTTGGAGCACCGTGCCGCTTCTATCAGACTTATCGGTCCTCCGGGATCCAAGGCCGGTGCGACCCGCTTCGAAGTTCGCGTGCCCGGTGCAGATGCCAACCCGTTCTACGTTTTGTCCGGCGTCCTAGCATTGGGCTGGCGCGGTGTGGAGAAGAAGCTCGAGATCCCATGCCCACCGCTAGGCAAGGGCGAGCAGGTTGGCGGGGAGTCTGATGCGGGTGCTAGACTGGCCAAGAGTCTGAAGGAGGCCACCGAGCGATTTATGAGGAAGGACAGCATCGCGAGAGAAGTGTTTGGAGACGAGTTTGTGGACCACTACGGAGGGACGAGAGAGCATGAGATCCGTCTTTGGGATGAGGCCGTCACCGACTGGTATGTTACAGCCCCACGCTTCCTATCGCTGATTCCCTGGATGGGAATTTGACCACGAGATGCTAACAATTTGAAACAGGGAGATGAAGAGGTATATCGAGACCGTCTAAACTGCCGAACACTTTCCTTTGTTTTAGTCACGAGCTACAACTAATGAACTATACGCTTACTGTTCTTGGGTTGTAATACGCTGGAGTCATCGTTGAAGTTGGATAGCCTTTATTCGCATCTTTTAGACAGTTTAATGCGATACCCAGTTATGTCTTTGATGTTCTTTGGTTCACGCGGATGGGAGCCCTTTCTATATTATCGTACACCACTTTGTCCACCAGACTCCAGTGAAGCTGCCCGCATCTGCATCGGCCGCTGGTCCTTCCATTTACTTTCTTCCATCACATCCCACCCCATCCCGCAGCCAAGTAGACCAAGAGATCAGACCGCCTAACGGGTATATGATTGACCCGAACGGCACCTGCTTTCATCAACAACTGCTTGGTCGTGTGGCGTAACGGTCTACAGTCGTGACACCCCAAACCCAGAAAAAAGGACACATACAAAAAGACAGAAAAACAAAAAACCCGGTTAAAAAAGAATTATATACACTCAAGTGACAGATAGCACCACAAGAAAGAAAGAAAAAGAAAGAAAAGTTAGGTGTTTTGATGGTTAATCGTCTCCCTGCTCGGACAAGCGGTTGTTGGTATATTCTTTTGTATCTTTTTGCACTTTCTTCGGAGGTTTGGGGAGGGATGGATTAAACACCGGGAGGTGGTGTGTTCGAATTGTGGTGGTTGTAAAAAAAATAAAAATTTCTCTAACCTTTCCACGGCAAATTGCCTTGCCGTGCTCTATCTATTCAGGACATGGGGTGAGTAGGTGATCTAGTTGAGTTTGGCTGTCGTAAGCAACACCCTCCTCGCTCTTTCGTTAGGACAAAGCAAACGAAAGGTTCGTCAGCACTGATTATGACATCTCAAATCAACAAGCAAAAACAGACTATGCCACACACAGTAAAGTGAAATTTTCACGTATATATGTAACCTGTATCGAGTCCAGTTCGAGTCAGGTCAGGTCAGGTCAGACTTTCAAGTGGCATGAGTCAAAAAAACAAAATAAGGTTGTTGGTGATCATTGTCTTTTTTTTTTTGCTTTTTTTTTTTAAATGGTCCCGACTGCGTGCGACTCTCCTCACTCCTCACGCCTCACGCCTCACGCCTCATGCCTCACTTTACGGATGCGGCTTGGATACCTACTAGGGCAGCGGCGCAGATGCAAAGCGGTGGTGACGGCGATGAGAATTTGCGATGCGATTTTCACTCTTTTGTTACATGTACCCTTGTGTCATTGCATGCACTTCATGTTGTCAAAAGGTTCACAGATCTTGGAGACTGGGACGTCATGGAATAGATAAGTGGTCAGTTAGGTGTTTGTACCAACAGTGAGTATCGCTTTACAAGTACTGCCCTGCCTTGACCTACCTACACGTAAACAGGACAATTATGGGCCCAATTCGAATGTTTGACTTTCCAGGTAGGTATGTAATGTTTGATGAACCGTGGCATTCTGGTTGTTTTCTTTTTTTCTTTTCTGCTGAGACAGACAGTCAAGGCCGTGACTATTCTACTGTGTATGTAGGTGGACAATCAGCTGGGGTGTTGCGTCGGTAGTAGGTAGGTATACTTTGAGATGGGGACTGGGAGATTGATGATGAACGAACGTGGTGCCATTGGAGATAGCTCAGGTGTGTGCGTGTGTGGACGATACCTGTCTTGCTGATTTCAGAATTCTTCTGACAACCAAGGTATGAGATGTACACAAAGGCGTCATGGAACAGAACAGCTTGTATAGATCGCTGGTGTTAGATGAGACGGTTTAGACTACCGAGTAAAGTCTTTGCGCTCTTTGGATTCTTCTAAAAAGATCATGTGAATGTGGTGTGGCCATTCTAGCCTGGTCACTGGGAGATTGATCGTTGCTCAGTAGGTACGAACGATAGTGTAAAAGCGAAGTTAGTAGGCCATCATAATCAAAGTTAATGTAGGATGATGGTCTTGTCAGCTTGATTCTCTCTCCTGAGAGTTGGAGTCGAGGTCAAATGCCTGGAACACTCACTCCCGAAAACCGATACGAGATTACCTTCAAGACACAGTCTGTTTTAAGTAGCTATGGCGAGGTCTTGGAACGTGACGTTCGAGAAAGGAGTCACGGCGTCTAAGTGTCACGTCGGGTTTTCTTCTTGTGTGACAGTTACGTGTGTGTCACTCTCAGCCATTCTCTCACGCTATCCAGAGGCATCCCTGTTCTTCTACTATCTTGAGGTTAATAGGAGGACAAGCCTGATGTGATCTTGATGGCAAGACGAGACGGATGGCAAAGATTCCGATGTCAGATCACCAAAGTAAGTGTAGCACTGCTGAAGTGCTTTGAAAAGACGTCCATAGTTCTGGTCTCTTTGGAAGACGGGCAATATTGCCCTTCGGAGTAAACGGGCAGCGTAAACAGGTTTTGGTGTTTTCACCAAGACGTTTGCTTAACCAAGATGGAAAGCAGGTTGAGATGGGACTTCCCTCATCACTGAATCTACCAGCTTTCGTGGGAACCAAGTTAACAGATACCTAGTCCGAGGTTGTTCGGTATCTTAAGAATCGACGAGATATAGTTGTGAAGAAGGAACCCTTGCCGTCGCGAATCCATCCTGTCGGTACCTGAATATGTAGGGATTCAAGACTTGTTATCTGTTTGTTTTATTACCGTAGGAACTCGCGGTGAAGAGCCCCAAGGAGGAGAGAGTCGACGTTATCTGCCAAATCGCCAAGTCAAGATAAGTCGGTACCTTGATCAGCGAGGTATTTTTGGCAAGAAGCTGAAGTCAAAAGAACGAAGGATTCTCTGCCCTGCTGGGCTACAGGGCTACCGCCATCATGGGCAGGAATAGGTATCGGCCGGTCCAAGGAGACGGAGAAGTACTGGAGGGGAGGCTAATTTCCCCCAATAGCGGTTGCCTGCTGCGGCTGGGACCAAGGATGATTTGTGATGCTGGTTCTTGAGCCACACATGGTCAGCACTAAAAAGGGCGGACTGGTGAGAGTGGGCGGAAAATAGCCAACCAAAGGGAAGGAAATCGCGAAAAGCTAGAAGGGGGGAGGGGTGAAAGAATCATCATCTTTTTTTCTTCTCTCTTTTCTTTTCCCCTCTCTGACATGCCATCTGTCACCAATGGCTTTTGCGAGATTCTGCATTTTCTCCGATCCAAGATGCGATAGCCGCTCTTTTGGTGCAGCGCATGTTGGATACCCGCTAGCACCCGCTCTGAAGCTGAAGAAGCTGATGTAGATTTGAAGACGAAATCTGACTGTTTTGAGACGGCAAAGCAAATGATGCACGAAGTCGATCAAAGATGGCCCGGTAATGTTGCGGGAGCTGGCTTGTCCGGTGCCGTGGTTGTGCACAAAATTACCACAACGTTCAACGTCCGGTTGATGTTTCGGATTTGGGATGCCACAGATGGACCCTGATCGTAGGACCCACATTTCCATTGGCGCCCAAGCTCCGATTCTTGGCAGTCTTACGAGTGGAACCCTCCACAGCAGCGCCAAGCCAAGCCAACCTCAACCCAACCCAACCATTTCACTTTCTCTTCTCACTTTCATTTTACGTCTTCTTCTGCAACGACACTCCGTCGGGGAATTCGCCCAATGGTCACAACCTCAACGGTATCGATAACACTTTGGAACCCTGGAGACCCCAGCGAGTCCTACAAACTTCCCAGAATTCACAAGTGGAATTTCAGGAGGTCTTTATAGACATGACAGACAACCGCAACTCAACGCGCTTGACACGCGCCGGCGCGCCTCTTCACCTCGCACTCAAGCCCATTCCTTAGCCGCGGGAATTGTACCTTTTTATTGGAGATGGATTACTGAGCGCCAAAGAGGGTCGCTTCCGGCTGTTGGCCACATCGCCTTGTGCCTACTTCCCGTCCTTTGCCGGACGTGCGATTCCCATATACCAAAACCACCCCAAGGCTTATGGCAATCAACATGGAACCGATGCTGCTTATTCGAGTCACATCTCTGACCACTACCAAGATGACGCCATACTCTTCTTGCTTTGTGTATGGACTGAAGGGCATGGCGGCATTGCATTTTGAATATTGACAGGCTGGTTCTCCGGCTCTCTCCAACTGACACCTTCGGCAAGTCCAAAAGTTCTCTCCTTTTCAGCCTCAGTACACCGGGCTGAACAAGCATGCGGCGCTTATCTGAAGGATAGAAAGGCTGCCTCTACAGAGTCATGGTCGCTCGACGACCATTGGCGGCTTGTCCAGCATGGCGTTGGGTGGCTTCACTGTGCCGTATCGCAGCTCGATCGCAACTGGTCCCCTTCCGGTGTATTTTCCCTTTGGGTCATGTCCGGCTATCTGATGTCGCTGTCACCCTTCTTTAATTAAGGTTACCCCCTGTCGCTACTTGAGGCAGGAGGCGTCGACTCAACGTCAAGGACGGCCAATGCCTCAACGTGGGACGTCCCCAGACCGTTCACTCCACGATACAACAACAAAAGGAGATAAAAACTGCGAGCGCCTCCTATCACGACATTGCCCACTGGAACGGGTGCACCGCTTATCTCTCCCGCCTCTGTAAAAGTTGGTGGCTGATCAAATTCGCTGACATGAGATGCTTGATGCTTGACGGGGCTGGGCACTCCTGGATTAGCACCTCTAAGTAGATCTTCTCCGGACCTTTCTAGCAATGCCCCTTCTCGTCAACTTCTCGAACCCATGATCCCGCTTCCCGGGTCGGGCCCGGTAGCAATCTTCCAACTCCCGAGCGGCCTGCCCGCGCTCTCTGCTAGACAAGAGCCAAATGGGTGGATTCACGTGTCCGAAGGGCTGCATGCCGGATGAACCTCACCCTTTGTGAGCGGCTCGTACGAACCACATGTACAACTCACAACTTGTGGTTGAGTTTTACAACAGTCCGTGGACCATCGGATATCATTTCGATGCTACACGACATGATAATGAAGGATGATTGTAATATCAATGCCACCACCGAAACTCCACGGCACACGTCCGAGGTTCTGTATAACTCCGCCGGTATTGGGTCCTGATTGAGACCTCAGTCAACATTCAGGTGGTCTACAGGCAGGACTATGCAACTTGGGTGCCTGGTTTCAATTCTCAAGACATAGTCCAGACCACCACCTTGACCCAGTAAATTCCAAATGGATCTGGAGGATCACCAACCCCCTTTCCTCGAAGGGCGATACCAGTTCATCGCGAATCCTTCGTCTGCTTGGCCAAGCGCTCGCGAACAGGGCCCCTGGCTATGGTGCCAAGGCGTGTGGGTCTCTTCACTTTCTCCATTCTCTTTTTTCTTTCCTGGAGCCGCTGCTGTTTGGATGGGCGTCAATCTAACACAGCCCTACGGGCCCCGAATTGGTGTCCTCTCTGACTGGCCAGTTTCTACGAGGACAAACGCAGTCCTCACCACCTTTGGCATCTTTGCCCTACAGGGAGGCTAGGTTATCCAGTCCCAGTGAGAATTCACCAGCCACATTTCGGCTCATTGGCTCGGGCATGCTGTTGACATCTCGGACCAAAAGCTTCTCTTCCTTCGTCGTCTTGCCTTCAACCAAAGAGCGTCAGGTCTTGACCCTCACCGTATCCACTCCTCGTTCCCAAAGGCTGTGCCCAACCTGGTGGGTCGTCAGATGGCTTGTTCCCGCTCCATGCTGACGGGACTTCTCGTTTCTAAACCCGAATAGGCCAATGGGGAATAAGGTCTTTGCCAATGGCTGTCCCCAGGCTTCCAGCTTCGCCCGTAGTTCTGGCGGGCTGAGCACCGATTGGGTTTAGTCAAGCTCTATTTTCTGACCACAGGCACCAAGATCCGCATCCTGTCTTAGTCGATGCTCGACATCCATGCTCAAGAGATCTCTTGGTGGCTCTGTTACCCCCCCGATGTTGTTGTGCGGCCAATAGCTTGATCTTATCGTGGACTGGCAGCTCGAATAAATACATTTGGCAGCCCAACCCGTGCTTCCACTCTTCCTCTTTTCCGCCCCTAGCTCACACTGTTGGTCACTTGTTGACTATTCTACACCCGCTTGAGATCTGCTTTAGGCAGGGTCAAGCTCCCATTGCATTTGCAACCTTCTATCACGGGCCTTTGTTTCTTCTTTGCGCTCTTATCATCTTTCCCATATCTGAAAGTCTCCTCACTTCACCCGCCCTCTTGGGCGTGATACTCTACTCATCATGGCGGCGGTTCTTCTCACACTCGTCCTGGCGACCTTAGTACAAGGTCTCCGGTACGATCCAGACTTTGTTGACTACAACCTTAACCAGAATAAAGACGCCACAAATCCATTAGACTACTCTGCGCCAAAACGAGATAAATACACACCGTCCCCGAAAGACTGGCGATTTCCCTTCTACACGCTTTTCCTCGACAGGTTCGCCAATGGTGACCCTACTAATGACAACATCAACGGCACTGTCTATGAGCATGATCCAACAAGCAACCAGTTGCGCCATGGAGGTGATGTTCAGGGCATCATTGACAGCCTGGACTATATCCAAGGCATGGGGATGAAAGTAAGTGGTGGAAGATATAACAGGAATGGGAACCATAGCTGATTTCGAAATAGGCTATCTACATTGCTGGTTCACCCTTTATCAACCTTCCTTGGGGCGTTGACTCGTACTCTGTAAGTGGTCGTGACGGGATAGGTGTTGGGTTCGCATTTTTGCTAACAGTGCTATAGCCCATTGACTTGACTCTCTTGGACATGCATTACGGTACAATTAAGGATTGGCAACGAATGGTGGACGAGATTCATAAACGTGACATGTATGTCATGATCGACCATACTTTCTCAACGTAAGTTTCGAACACCTTCTCCAGACACTATTTGCCCATTGCCTCGGCAGATGGCTCACAGCCAGATTAGTATGAGCGATCTTCTCGCGTTCAAAGGCTTCGAGAACGAAACCGCCCCGTTTAAGCTCGACGAACACAAGGTGCACTACAAGAGTAACCGAGAGTATCTCGATTTTGCGCCATCCAACGAATATAAGGACGAATGCGAGTATCCCAGGTTTTGGGATGAGACTGGAATGCCTGTGGGAGACGATGTCACCAGCCAGTTAAAGGGCTGCTATGACAATGATTTCGACCAGTACGGCGACATGGAAGCCTTCGGTGTCCATCCGGACTGGCAACGTTCCTTGGCCAAATTCGCTAGTGTCCAGGATCGATTGAGGGAATGGGTGCCATCCGTTCGCAAACGCATCGAGTTATTCTCGTGTCTTTCGATCAGGGTACTTGATGTCGATGGGTTCCGCTTCGATAAGGCCACGCAAGTCACGGTTGATGCCATGGCCGAGCACAACGAAGCCGTCCGCAAGTGTGCCAAGGAACACAACAAGGACAATTTCTTCTTGCCCGGCGAAATCACCGGTGGCGATGGCTACGGTGCGATTTATATTGGCAGAGGACGACAAGGAGATCAGCGGCCGAACTTTCCCCAGGTCATGAATTTGACGACGAAGGAGCTCAGCAAGAACAACAGCCTGGTAATACGCGACGAGGGCAAAAACGGTCTCGACGCCGGTGCTTTCCACTATTCGACATACCGCTTTCTTACAAGGTTTGTCGGTATGAGTGGAAACTTGGAAGCTGGTTACGACCTGCCGCTCAACTGGGTTCAGATGTGGAACCAGATGATTATCACCAACGATTTCGTCAACCCCAATACTGGCCTTTTCGACCCCCGGCACATGTACGGGACTATGAATCAGGATGTATTCCGTTGGTCTGGTATCAAACTGGGTACGCAGAGGATGCTTCTGGGTTTATTCATCATGACCCTGCACATGCCCGGTATCCCCTTGGTTTTCTACGGTGAAGAGCAGGAATTTTACGTTCTTGACAGCACGGCGGACAACTACATTTTTGGACGACAGGCGTTCTCGCCTACACCCGGCTGGATGCTCCACGGCTGCCATGCCGGCAACAGTACACAATACATTGGCTGGCCCATTGAGACATCAAGGACCGGCTGCAACGACCCCAAGGTTGGGCTGGATCACCGTGACCCATCGGCTCCGGTCCGCAACATCATGAAGTCGATGTACCATATGCGCGAGAAGTTCGAGACTTTCCGTGAAGCATGGCTCCTGCAGACCCTTAGTTCGAAGATTAGGACCGTGACGCTCGAAGGCAGCAACACAAGCACCGAATTCGGAATTTGGTCCGTTGCTCGCGCGTTCATGCCCGGAGTTCAAAAAGAGTTATATCCAGCTGAACCCGTCTGGCTTGTCTATCACAACGAGGAAAAGGAAACCGAGTATACCTTCGACTGCTCCAAGAAGGACAAGGACTTCATCTCCCCATTCGATGCCGGGGCGACGATCAAGAACTTGTTCTATCCCTATGACGAGGTCAAACTGCAGAAATCCTCTCAGAGCTTGGGATTCGCTAATTCCCATGAGATAAGCGGCTGCCTTAGCAATATCACCATGGCACCCTTCGAATTCCGAGCCTATGTTCTCAAGGATGATTGGGAATCTGCCCCGCCTATGATCACCAAGTTCAACCATGGCCATGACGCTTCCATCGAGTCTCGCGAAGACGGAAAGGTCGACATCGAACTGGAGTTCTCAGAGGAAATGGACTGCGAAGAGGTTCTCAAGTCGATCTCTTTCACGTCCAAGACAGAAGAGAAGGCCAGCATCAAAATCGATAAACACGAATGCGGGAAGATCAAGACCAGCTTCATCGTCGAATATGTCGGCGCTATCCCTTCTACCTGGAGGTTCAAAGCCACCTTGTCAAACATCAAGGACGGAATCCACAGGATTACTGTCAAGGATCCCAAGTCTGTTCGCAAGGGAGTCAGCACGGGCGCTACTGACCACTTCCTCCTCCGTGTCGGTTCACTCAACAACCCGGTTGTCAACCCCATGAATGCCAACTATTCCAAGACACTGGTGACGAAAGAGGGCAGTGATCTCTTCGTCAACCACGCCGCAGCTGGTGCCGATAAGTGGCGCTACTCGACCAACTGGGGCTCGAGCTGGAGTGATTGGCTCGAATACAAGGGAGGCAAGGAGAAAATCAATAAGCTGGACTGGAAGGGAACGAAAAGACAAGAATGGGATGATGACCATGTCATGGTTCAGTACTGGTCTAAGCTGCTGGGTAGCGCCTCGTTTGTCCAGTCTGGTGACAGCAAAGACACCAAGTTGCGCCGCTTCCCCCACCTCTTCGCCCATGGTCTTTTCAACAAGTTTGGCTTTGATGCTGGTGTCAAGAATGAGCTGAAGCTGGTTGGTGATGGGCTGTGGGAGGGCCACGTTATGGATGAGTGGCCCACTCATTTTCAGCTTAACTATGGGCATGAATCCTGATCAGAAACCGGACGCCGGATGGGTGTTCGGCGATGTGGATGGAGATGGGGTCCTGGATCGTATGCCGCCTTCATCGTTGGCATTGAACGTTATCAATGCTACAGAACCGCCGCCGATGCCTGCGCTGTCGTGGAAGCTTGTCTTCAACGATGCGCTGCTCACTTTCCGTAAGGAGCCCCAGGGAAATATGTGGATTCAGATTATCATGTTTATCCTGCTGGCTTCGCTCCCCATCGTCGGTGGTCTCACTGCCGTCTGGATTTTCATGGGCTCCTTCTACAAGGTCAAGGTCAACAAGGTCGGCTTCAAGCGCCGTGGTCGCTCACCTCTGCGCGACATCGGCAAGCGTATCAGCAGTACCGTTTCTTTCGAGAATTTCCGTCACAAGGACGTGGGTGACACGGAGCTCGCTGTCGTTCCCGGCAAGCGCAGAAAGGTTATCATTGCCACTATGGAGTACAATATCGACGACTGGAATATCAAGATCAAGATTGGCGGCCTCGGCGTCATGGCCCAGCTCATGGGTAAGGCATTGGAGCACCAGGATCTGATCTGGGTTGTGCCCTGCGTCGGTGGCATCGACTATCCGATCGACCAGCGCGCTGAGCCGATGTACGTGCCCATCATGGGCAAGGAGTACGAGATCGAAGTGCAGTACCATCAGGTGCAGAATATCACATACGTGCTGCTCGACGCGCCCATCTTCCGCACCCAGTCCAAGGCCGACCCCTACCCGCCGCGCATGGATGACATGGACTCAGCCATCTACTATGCCGCCTGGAATTACTGCATTGCCGAGGCCATTCGGAGGTTCAACCCGGACATGTACCACATCAACGATTACCACGGTGCGGCGGCGCCGTTGTACCTGCTTCCTGAACGCACCATCCCCTGCGCTCTTTCGCTTCACAATGCCGAGTTCCAAGGTATGTGGCCTATGCGCACGCCTGAGGAGTCTAAGGAGGTGTGCGAGGTGTTCAACTTGGATCCGGAAGTCGTGAAGGAGTACGTCCAGTTCGGCTCGGTTTTCAACCTTCTCCACGCCGGAGCAAGCTATCTGCGTGTCCACCAAAAGGGCTTTGGAGCCGTGGGCGTCTCGAAGAAATATGGCGACCGCTCCTACGCCCGCTATCCCATCTTCTGGGGCCTGTCCAAGATCGGCCAGCTGCCTAATCCTGACCCGAGCGACACGGCTGAGTGGAGCAGAGACGAACAGGTCCTGGAGAAGGACGTCGTCGTCGATTTCGAGGCCGAGGCCAAGCGCGGTGATCTCAGGAGAGAGGCTCAGGAGTGGGCTGGTTTGGAAGTCAACCCGGATGCGGAGCTGTTCGTCTTCGTCGGCAGGTGGTCGCTTCAGAAGGGCGTCGATCTTATCGCCGACATTTTCCCGTCCATCCTGGAGAAATATCCCACCACCCAGCTCATTTGCGTCGGTCCGGTTATCGATCTTTATGGCAAGTTTGCCGCGCTCAAGTTGGCAAAGCTCATGGAGAAGTATCCCAAGCGCGTTTACAGCAAGCCCGAGTTTACCGCCCTGCCTCCTTGTATTTTCAGCGGCGCTGAGTTTGCTCTGATTCCCTCTCGCGACGAGCCGTTTGGTCTGGTAGCTGTTGAATTCGGGCGCAAGGGCGCGCTCGGCGTTGGCGCCCGCGTTGGTGGCCTTGGACAGATGCCTGGCTTCTGGTACACGATCGAATCGACCGCCCCTCAGCATCTTATTCAGCAATTCCGTGGAGCCATTGTCAGCGCATTGGAGAGCAAGAAGCAGAACCGCCAGATGATGAGAGCCTGGAGTGCCAAGCAACGGTTTCCTGTCGCTCAATGGGTTGAGGACCTGGATACGCTCCAGACCGAGGCCATTCGCATTCATCAAAAGGAAGCCAAGAAGCACAAGAGAGTCTCTAGTGGCTCGTTGCTCACGGTTCCTTCTAACATTGATCTTAACGGCAACAACGGCCAGCGGGATTACTTTGATGATGCGGTTGAGACACCTGCGGGCGCACGATCTCGAGCGGAATCTACTTCGTCGACGCCCGGTCCCCAGGAACCTGGCGCGGCATACCACAGACGGACACCCTCAAACCCTTTTGATGATGACATTCCCAGCATTGCGTCCCCGCCTCCGGGTCCCGGATCTCCTCCCACTGTTAACGTGGACCGTATCCGCGATCATTCCGACCACGGTGGTGAAGACGGTGCTGATGAACCCCTCATGCCTCCCCTCATGCCGCCGAACCCCCTGTTCCTTAACCCCTCTGCCAGTTCGTCGATCACGGATGTCCGCTCTATCGCAGGTAATGCCTTCGGCACAATGGGTGATCGCAGCAGTGTCGATACATTTGCGATGCGCATGATGTCTCCCGATGGTTCCGAGACCCGTCCTCAAGCCTTCGGATTGCTCAACCCACAAGCTCGTCCCGGTGCTGAAGGTATCTACCAAGCCCGCAACCGCAACAGCTCGCGCCTCTCCGTCGTCGATGTCGTTGGTGACAGGCAGGATTTCCGCTTGCAAAAGGTCGATCCCTTCTTCACTGATGCGACTGGTCAGTATTACCGCGAGTTCGAGCGCAAGCTCAACGGACTCACGGCCAAGAACTCGGAAACCGAGCTTTGCGTCGAAGACTACCTCAAGCAAAGCGAAAAGGAGTGGTTCAAGGAATTCAGAAACGCCAAGCTAGGCCGCAGCCGCAGCCCAAGCCGCTCTCGGAGCCCCATGCCAGGCTTGAAGATCAAGAAGCAGAGACATGCCAGCGTTGTCAGCGTCCAGAGCATTTCGCCTTCCGAAGACGACGACCGTGAGAACGAGGAAAGTAACAATAATAACAACGATGGTGTCGGCCACCATCGTGACGACCAATTCCTGCTTGGCGAAGGGTACAAGCCGCCTACGGGCTTGAAAAAGCTGCTCTCTATTCGCCTCGGTGACTGGCCTATTTACTCTTTCATCATTGCCCTCGGCCAGATTCTCGCCGCCAACTCGTATCAAATTGTTCTCCTCGCTGGTGAATCCGGACAAACGCCCACGCAGCTTTATATCGTTGCTGGCACTTATGCTCTCGGCTCCCTTCTGTGGTGGTTCATGTTCCGTCGCCTCCCAGCACTGTACTCGCTCTCCCTGCCCTGGCTCTTCTACGGCCTGGCATTCATGCTTCTGGGCGTCACGCCGTTCATGCCGGAGCACATCCGTTTCCCAGTCCAAAACACCGCATCGGCGTTGTACGCCGCTGGCGCATCAAGTGGATCGCTGTTCTTTGCAATGAACTTTGGCGATGAAGGTAAGCAAGCCCTTTTCTTCTAGATACTACGTATCCATGACAAGTGACCCATGCTAACATATCCTCCAGGCGGTGTCCCCATAATGACCTGGATCTTCCGCGCCGCCATCATCCAAGGAATCCAACAAGTCTACATCCTAGCCCTCTGGTACTGGGGCAGTTTCCTCACCGGGCAAACTCCCACCGGCACTCCCCACGGCCTCTGGATCGCCAACAAGGTCCCCGTCGTGCTGGTCATTACCGTGCCCATCGCCCTCATTCTGTGGAGTCTAGGCGTCATCTCCTTCATCGGTCTACCCGATTACTACCGCCAGCTCCCCGACAAGATCCCCTCCTTCTACAAATCTCTTATGCGCCGCCACATCGTGCCCTGGTTTCTGCTCATGGTCGTCATCCAGAACTACTTCCTGTCCGCCCCCTACGGCCGCACCTGGGAGTTCCTCTTTTACTCCCGCGCCGTCCCCGGCTGGGCCATCCTGCTACTAGCCATCGGCTTCTTCGTCGGCCTCTGGTGCTTGCTGCTGTGGCTCTTCGCCTACTTCACCAAAACCCACCCGTGGATCGTCCCCCTCTTCGCCATCGGCCTGGGAGCCCCGCGCTGGGCACAGATGTTATGGGCCACCAGCGGAATCGGCCTCTACCTCCCCTGGTGCGGCTCCGCGGCCCTTGGCGCCATCATCTCCCGCTGCTTGTGGCTGTGGCTCGGGTTACTGGATACAGTACAGGGTGTCGGACTAGGTATGGTCTTGCTGCTGACGCTCACGAGGCAGCACGTGGCTGCCACGCTTATGGGCGCGCAGTTCCTGGGCGCGGTGTTTACCATGTTGGCGAGGGCGACGGCGCCGGATAAGAATGGACCCGGGGACGTGTTTCCGGATTTCACGGCGGGGGCGATGCCTGGGTTGGGCAAAGCCTGGTTTTGGGTCGTGTTGGGATTGCAGCTTGTGCTGCCCATTGGGTTTTTCAAGTTCTTTAGGAAGGAGCAGGTTGCTAAGCCGTAAGAGAAAGGGAAAGAAAAGGAAGGGAGCAAAGGAAGATGAATACCTTGTAGGGTGTCGGATTGGACTTTTCTTTTACAAACTATTGGTTCTAACGGCTGGATGGGATGCACGGAACTATAAAAGGATGTATCGTTGGATGGATGGATGGATGGACGAAATTGTTCTGGTTTGGATATCCTCTGGTTTTGGAAAGGGAATTCCCACTTTATTTGTTTTGTTTATAGCATATACCCCCCAGCAGGCAGTTACAACGGATCTATCTGGCTCGGAGGAGGATTAGGTGGTTTTTGATTGTTTTATTTACAGGTCTATACCTATCTACACTGCTTATGCATGTCCTTTTTGATCTTTGGAACTTGACTGATTTCGTAATTTTTCAAGTCTCTTAGAGTGTGTTGTTATTTCAATCAATTGCTTGCTTGTCTTTGAAGAAGACCGGCAGGCATGGCCGGTTTGAGGTTGGAAATTGCACACTGCTGCTGAAGGCACGCAAGTCTGCTTGCTATTTGGCCTAGCGAGGTTATAGGTACTACAAATACCCCTGATTAGCATGTTAAGGCGGGTTTAGCTCAGTTGGGAGAGCGTCAGACTGAAGTCCACTTCACTCATAAATCTGAAGGTCGTGTGTTCGATCCACACAAACCGCACTTAACATTCTTTTTTCTTTCTTTTTGCAAGCCTTTTGAAAGCTGTTGTTAGCTAGAGCTGCTATTATTATTATATATATATAGCAAGCAACATGACTTTTTTTCGTTTTTTTTATCGTAACTTCTCATTTGGTAGTTTAGTGGCGGGAAGGATTTCGGTTATAACGGCGTTGCGTCTTTGTTGGACCTCCAACGGGATCGATCGCCAAGATGGTGGTGGTTGCTGGCTGTGACGTAGGTGTGTGTGTGTGTGTATTCGATCCTTCGATTTCCCAAAGCTTGTAGAGTCGAACTCCTCGAATTTGCTTGGATCGATAGTTTACTTTATCTAATGTCGGTGCCTAATTCATGAAGGAATACACGGTCAATCGCCCTTCGGCGAATTGCTAGTGATTGGTCATTAATTTTTCGGAAACATTGTTTGCCAGTGACAACCACCACTCAAGTCAAGTAAGTCAGTCAGCCCATCCATCGATCTTTCTGGTTCACTTACAACTCACAGTAGGAAAATCAATCAAACAAAGCGGAAGATCTACACGCTGCGAACTACATCCAGTATCTACGCCTACTAGGTTACCGAGCCTCGCACTTATCGATAGCCATATGAGTGTTCGATTCCCTTGGCTTCAGTCTCGATGGACCGACGGCGTTCAGATTGGCCAACTGAACTTCGTAACTTCTTTGTTGGCTTCGGACGATTATCGCTCACCACGAATGACTTCAGTTGCATATAAGCTGCCTGTTCAAAGCAGCATATTTTGAACATCAAATATTACTCCAACAAGTAGACTCACACACCACACACATCCCTTCTACCCCATCTCAAACTCAAAGCCCTCACTATGCATCCATCAAACTCCTTGTCAACCTTCAATGGCCTCATCTTACTTTTACCATCTTTCTCCCCGCTCACCCAAGCTCAAGCCCAAAACCCTCACAACATCCACATCCACTACCTCCCCACCAACCACCAACTCCAAAGGCCAAACCGCCCTCATCAGCATCCCCGTCTTAGAAACCTCGCTCCCGCCCGAAATCGGCATTTACGGATTCATCATCCGCGGCGACGCCTCCGAGACGGTATACAAGCTCGCGTGCCTGGAGGAAGACACGCAAATAGACCACACCGACGAAAATGGCAAGCTCAAGCCGGTAGATTACTGCTCCTGGCTCTGGGGCAGCTTGACGGTGCAGGTCAAGGCGGAGTCGACCTTGTCAGCGGGAGGAGGAGGGGGGTCCTATATAAAGGGCATGACCAGCTGGATGGTGTATGATAATACGCATCGGCATGCGGTGATTACCAAGACGTCGGATGGGCCCGAGGTCGTTGTTGAGGGGGTTACGTATGTTTCTCTTTAACTTTCCATCCCCCCTTTCTATTGCAATCTACATTTCATTCCCCCATCCAGGTGTGGAAGTGCTGATAATATTTTCAAAACAGAACAGCAAAAGCAACATGCACCATCTCCCCCAACCCCCACGCCTCCAACCTCCAAGTAACCACCTGCAACGGCACCATCAGCCTCGCCTACGGCTACAAGCGCGTTTTCAACACCGCATCCACCGTGACGGACTCGACTTCGACCCGACACGAGACTTTGGTCAGGACAATGAGGGCTCCTGATTTGGAGCGCGAGACCGAGCTGGTGGCTATTACTGTTACGACTGGGTGGGAAAATCTGTTGCCTGCTGCTACTAGCACTCGTACTGGTACTACTAGTGGTGCTTCATCAGAGGTAATGAGCACTAGCTCGGAGGGAGGTGGTGGCTCGCCGATGGTAATGAGAGCGAGGGCGACGGAGGGAGCGATGATGGCGGTGGTGAATGGTGTTGCGGGGGTTGTGGGTGGTGTTGCTGTTTTGTTGTGATGTGACCTGATGGATTGTAACTTCGAGAGGTATGGGCGAAGTTCAAGGGTGATGATTTTTTGGGAAACGAGGCGGAGTGTCAACCTGAATGAAGAAGGGATGGGAGGTAGCATGTTAATGGAACGAATGAAGTGTGAAACTCGATCTGATTTGTTTGTGTGCGAGTGTTGTGTTTGTGCATGGATTTTCGCAGTCCTTCTTTTTCTCGATCGAAAAAAAACTGCGGTGCGAAAATATCTCGGTGCACCGTCTGTCTGTTCATCGTCGTCAACCTCGGAAGGCGCCTTGGGAGGTTTAAAAGGTTAAGATGACCCCGAGCTTCTGCAGTGTATCGGTGTTACAGAGGGAAAGGTAAATCACAAGGCAGATTGTTTGGGTGCTGGCCGCCGAAACGGGCCGGCCGCTGGGCATTGCGGCTGTGCGACGCCGCTTTTTTATCCCTCCGGGCCACTTCCCCGGGCCTCCCTTCACATGTTTACTCGAAATTTCATTGACGGCGATCATGAAACAGCAGAAATAACTTTTCGGGGATCAGACCCAAACTCACCGGTTCAAACTTCACAATACCTCACCTTGTTCAGACCTCAATCCACTTAAGTCATCATGTCCTGGCTGGAAGGCGCCGACGCGCCAGTGCCAACTTACACTCAAACCGACAACGACGGATTCATGAATTTCATCAACGGGAACAGTCAAATTCCCCCATCCGATCTCAACATCGACATCGACCTTCACCTACCACTCACCCGATACCCCTCTCCCCTCCCTCCCGATGTTGACTACGCCACCTCATCTCCCCCGCCTTTCAACCCAAACGAACCCAACTCGCCACACGTCCAAGCGGAACGGCGCAACTTACAATGCAAGCTAATCCGCATCTTCTTCAACGCGATCCGCACCAACAAAACCGACCTGGTAACCAAGCTCATCACCACCGGCTTCGTGTCCCCCGATGTGCCCAACGAGTATGGCCTCACCCCGCTCCTCGCGGCCGTGGAAGCCGGTGACGGTGCCATGGTTTGCGCGCTCTTGAATATCGGCGCGGACGTCAACGCTTTTGGTACTCCTACCAAGAGGAGCGAGGCGTATTACCGATACTCGTCATCTTCATCATCCAAGCGCAAAAAGAGGGGAACCGACGCAAACAAGAAGAGGAAACAGTTACCACCAGATGCGCGCACCCCGCTCATGACCGCCTCAGCAACCGGCAAACTCGCCCTAGCCAAGCTCCTCCTTCAAGATTTCCACGCCGACGACGCCCTCATAGCCGGCGACGGCCAGCTCGCGCTTCGTCTAGCAGCCGATAACGGACATATGGAGATCGTCGACCTGCTTCCTTCGCGCAGAGGCGGCGAGTTTCGGCGGTGGAGGACACATCACGCGGGGGCTATCAGGCGGATCAAGAGAGCCGGTGGGGGAATCTTCGCCTTCTTTGCGTTCTTTGTGTATTACATCCCTGCGGCGCTTCTGTGGAGCTTGCCGAAGCACGTGGTTGTTTTGCCTAGCGTGAAGCTGGCTAAGTGGTCGTGGAGGAATAAGGCACGGTTTGGAGGGTGGTGTGAGAGACAGTTGAAGAAATTTCCGGACAGAGCGAAGAGGGGGGTCAAGGCTGCGGGGCGGGCGGTGAAGGCCTTGAAGCATGTTCCCAAGGGGGTGGCGAGGTTTGTGAAGGCGTTGGCTAAGGGGTTGTGGTGGGTGATCAGGAGGATACCAGGCGCTATGAAGGTAATGTGTCTGTGGATATGGGAGAGTTTGAAGAAGGTCGGGATGGCGACGGGGTTTGTGTTTTTGAAGGTGGTGTCAGCCTTACATACGGCCGTTATGGCATTGTTGAGCTTCTTCCGGAGCATCACTCTGAAGGATGTCGGGAATGCGATCGCGGTGGCAGTAAAAGCCCTCTTTGTTGACCTACCAAGGGCCGTGTGGTCTGGCATGAGAGCATTTGGAAAGGCTTCGTACAAGGCGCTTGGCTACATGCTCGGGCTTCTGGGAAAGATTATTTGGTGGATTATGAGGGCACTGTTTGAGATCCCAGTGTTCTTGCCCAAGCAGTTGTGGAAGATCCTTGCGGCGATTGGGAGTTCAATGAGCAAAGGATACCATGAGATCCTCGTGTGGCTCAACCCCAAGAGGCGCTGAAAGGATCCCATGAGGCTTGAAGATGGTGGTTCTCAAGATACCTGGCAATCTGAACAGGGCTTGGAGTTTGGAGTTGGTCGTTAGCCATGATTCTAGATAATCTCAGCGCATAAGGCAAACTGCTTTGCCGATAAAGACCCAATAGAGTGATGCGATCTGCAATAGACAGTGAGCTCACTCTAGATCCCGTGGAAGCATGAGGAGGTTGCGAGCTGAGTCCATATCGCGCGCGGAGAATGGACGATATCTGTCAGTACATAGATGAATTCTGTACTTCGTGTATCTCCAGAAATAGAACCGCCTCAACTAATAGTGGTGTTGCACTGGACCGGATGTCGGACTGCAATATGTTCATGTAAATGTTGGTTCTGTTGATACCTCATGGAAATGGAAATAATGGTTGATCGCCTCGAGCGAAATCATGTTGACATAGTCAGCGCGGACTTTGCCTTTTCTCCCTGCATATGGTGCACCTTTATTATTCAGGCTTGTTTCCCGCCACTCGTTCGCCCGGCAAATCTGTAGTGTCGTTGCCGGTGTGCCCTATGGGTTGCGGTTTCGAAGGTCTTTGTTATGCGCTTGTCGGCAGCGACGCTGAAAAACTGATGAGCGCAGTCTGTCCAGCATCTAGCAGCAAGATATCTTGAGATCTCATGCTGAGTGTGAGTGGGTTTCTGTATATCCTTATTGATGAGTTCACCAACAGATTGGCCTCACCAGACATGTCTAGATGGATGAACCCGAAATCCCGAATGAGTGACTGTGATAGAACGGAAGCGAAGAAGACCAAGCTACCTTCCAAGACGGAGGCCGGCACCGAGGTCAAAAGAAGAATAGTAGAACAACCGCAGAATATGCAGCTTAGGCTGGGGGTTATCGAGCACGTCCGGGGTAGAGAATGGTTGGATGGATGCCAAGACATGGGAGAAACACCATGCAATTTAGCCTGGTGGTGCCGCCCAGCGTGACTTGCAGAAAAAGGAGCATGTTGTTTTTAGCCTATCCCGCACTTGCTCGTGAATGTTTCCTCTTCTGGCAAGCGAGTATAAGACTTGGAGGTCCGATGCAACATGAGGCGACAAGTTGACAGCCAGGGAGACCAGGTAATGGCTCCAGAGGTTCGCTGTGGTGTCAGCTTCGGCAGGTGCGTCAGAAGGCGACGATACCGTAGAGCAACAGCACCGTCTTGGTTAGACTCCAATGTCAACAGTTGTTTTCTTTGGCAATCCTGCACGAAGTAAATCAGGGGCACCAGAACATTCTCGTTCCAGAATCTCGGTTCGCCCATGGATACGATCCGAAGATCTGGACATGAAATGCCCCCTTTGAGAAGGAAGGATGGAAGGTTCTCCGGGAACAGGCCGAAGATGGTGAAGATCTGATGATCCCCTGCGTGCAAGACTGACAACAAGAGACAAGCCCAATCTTTATCCGGGATCCGGTTCCGTCGCCCAAGAGTACTCTCAACGAGGAGGTCATGGGGGCCATGAGACTAAACTGTGAGATTGGTGTTAGCACAGCCATAAGTTGAACATAGCTATGTAGTACTCAGACGACATAGAAGAATGAACAGGAGCACCGCAATATGGAAGACACGCCTGGCCCGTGGCAAGCTTCTGTTGGAAGCCACCCAGCCCCCAATGCAGCTTTCGCTGTAGGCATATTGTCGGGCCTTGACTTATGACCGACTGTTCACCTGAGCATCAGGCCGTGTGCGCTGATTTCGATAAAGTGCGCCGTAGATGGTGAATCGAATGGCTGCCTTGCTCGCTTGCCTTTGCCCCCAAGGAGCAGCGGCAGGAGGCGCCATCCGGTTATATTCGCCAAAACGGACGGCTTCTCATCGCTACCCTGCACGGAAGCAGAAAAGACAACCGAGTCTGTCAACAGATGCCGTTGGAGTGTTTGGGGCCGTTTACCAAGGCGTGAAAGTAAGGTTAGTTGGTACCCTTCATTTCGGCGTTGTCCGTGGATGTTCCTTTGTTTTAATGTTCAAGTTGGGAAGAAGTTCGTTGCCAAGTGAAAGAAAGAGGAAACGTTGGAGCGACATGGGGAAATTGCTGCCCTGCAGTGTTCCTTCCTGTGGGGAAGCTTAGCGTCGATAGGTATCTGTAAGCGATAGGATGAGAAGTATTCTTACAGCTCTGCCATGTGCAAAGGTACATTATAAACTAACAACCCTCTCTCCATCTTGGGCCTGTCCGTAAGCTGGCTCGAGCGCCCCCCAGTTTTTGTGGTTGCGCTTTCATGGACCCTTCAACTTCTCCCGCTGCATAAAAGCTGATAAAAACGGTAAAAATAGCATTCTTTCACTACAATTACATTTTAGAGTCTGACCGCTAGTAATCGAACCGTGCACGACTCCGTGTGCTCTGGCTATATATATATAGGTTTATTTGTTAATTTGTGTTGAATCTAAATAGGATAAATTGCTGAAATTGTAATATTTTCAAGCAACAACTTAATATTTAAAATTTACAACTCTCAAACTCTCTAAATCCTAATTGCAATACTTCCAATCTGCTAACTGGCTAATAGCGCTATTTGTACAGAATTCTACCTTATTAACAAAAACAATGCTGTTATTCAAATTGCCTATTACAACTACTATAAGTATGAAGCAGCCTCTAATATTATTGAATTAAGCTAATATTTCGCTAATTGTATAAAGTACTAATAATATAATAATATTCGTATTTATATAATATCATTAACTACTATATAAAAAGCTAAAGTTTATTTTTATGTAGTAGAAATAATCTCTCTCGATAGTAGAAGGTTTATATTATTTAAAAGCAATCTTATAAAAGTATTATTCTACGTATTTATCCTATTTTATACCTCGCTAGTAGCAGTAACGATTCGCGATACTTAATTACTTGAAATTTATAAATTTATACAAACTCAATTTAAAGAAACGTACATCAACCTCCAGCTTTTTATTAACTTTTTTTTACGAAAAATAATAATTACACTAGCCGTCGGATTCTCGATATTTTAATAATATAATCTCTAAATTCCCTACTATACTATCACACGAACATATGCCACACTTCAGATATCACACGGACATATGCTACACTCTCGGTGTCATACGGGCATATGCCACACTCCTGGTGTCATATGAGAAAGACCTATATGTATGCAGATCGCTAGGTACCTTGGAGCCTCAGATGACAAGGACCCGTACGTACTGGATACGTACCGTTTCCCTTTGGCATAAGAAGGCCTTGAAGCTCAGCCTTCCTCTAGAGGTTGAAAGGATCAACAAGGCCTTCGAGACCGAAGTAGTTTATTAGCTAAATTAAACTACTGTTCCAAGCCCAGAACTCTGCTCTTTGTGATGTATGACAGGCTGGAGTGGATATGCCCAGACGGCCAAACCTACAAAAGATAGGACGATGTTCTGCTTGCAAGGCAGAACTCGGAATGTACACTATATAGCCAATGTCAACCTGTGACAGATGGCAGCCTTGCAGTTATGACTCTCGACTGCCATCACAACTATATAAGACTACTCAAGCAACCGAATTACCAGCTTCAGTTACTTGTATCCTTTTGGAACGTAGCCTAGTGATGTAGTGATCCGCCAGCGCCGTGACATCCTTGTCACACATACCTGTGTTATAATTTAGACTAATCGCAATAGCTCAAATTAATTAGGCTACTACAGAAGTTCTAGTACTATATCTAGTCGCTAGCAAATATTAGCTACTTATAGCCCGTATCCTAATTCGTTACGCTATATATTAACTCCGCGCAGACAGTTAGCTGGAAATTAGACCTTTCCTTTAACAATATTTTTCTTTTTTCTTTC